CTGTTAGATGTTTCTGAAAATGTCTAATGCGATGTTGGGACTCCACTGTTTCATCTAAGTAAATATGCATTTATATTCGCCTTTATTTTCTGGTTCAATAATTGAAATGCCAATACTATAAGTAGGTCTATAACTTAAATTGCATACACGACGAAACAGAAAATAGAAAATCTATACTTTAAATTCCAGTTCGCCCACCCCCACAAAAGTTTTGAGTCCCCCCCCCCCCCGGGAGAACATATACAAAATACACTGCTTACGATGCCGGCAGTGTTTCTTCCAGACATTTTTCTCCGGGGGGGCACTTGAAATCTTCGGGGGGGCGGTAAACTTTCTTCGGGGGGGCGGACACTGTTAAAAGTATATATTTTCTATATAAATTATATAAATTTAATTTCGTTCGGGGGGGCGGTAAAAATTTTTCGGGGGGGCTTCGTCCCCCCGAAGAGATGCCTGGAAGAAACTCTGGATGCCGGTGTTTTTACTGTCTACATCGCTTAGCATCTACCTTACTATTGCTAAAAACTAAAGAGTAACCCTACTTTTGAAAACGCCAGTAGGTCATATCGATGTAGATCTAGTACTAGTATCGTTATCCTAATCCCAGTCCTGATTATGTCTGTAGACAAAAATTAAGGTACTATGTGAGGATTACTACACAAAAAAAAGTAGTACATGGGGTGGGGGAAAGTGCTAATCGACGTACAATTCTAGAAAGAAGGTACCACAAAGAAACTATACTTGCAGTGTTTCTTTCAGACTTTTTTCTGCTGGGAGGGAGGGGGGGGGGGGGCATTTGATATTTTCGTTGGGGGGGGGGGGGGCACTGGTAAAAGTAGATATTTTCTTTATAATTTCCATTTGGCTCAAGGGGGGGGGGGGGGGGGCGGTAGACTTTTTCGGAGGGAGAGAGGCTTCAAAGAAACTCTGACCCCTTGTCCTTCTTAACATCACAAAAACACTTACCAATCCTACCCCACTAAACAGAGGCGTAGCGACCCCTCCCGGCGCCCGGGGAAAAAATTGGCGCCCCCCCCCCTCCCCCGATGTATTTTTTTATATTTATAATTCAAAATAGCAGCTAATTTTAGCTTATTTTGGCGCCCCAAGGGTCGGCGCCCCGGGACATATGTACCCCCCCCCCCCCCCCGTCGCTACGCCTCTGCCACTAAATGAAAACCGCACGCCATCCTGTAAAAAAGATAAATCTAACGAAAATTAATTTGTATAACGTCTTATTATTATTTTTTAAATTGTCTCTTTTTCCCCGCCCGTGCCTTTGTACATTTTTTTTTTTATAATCTTCTCCTTATCTTTTGATGTGTGATACCATTTATGATAGTCACCTTCTCCTCTCCCCCTCCCCCACCCCCACCACAGAAATTAAAGTAATTTTTAAAAAAAAACGCGATTTCCTCTAACAAGACATTCGCTTTTTTTATACTCGCAGCTTTCAGGCGACAGTAAGCAGATGGATCGTCTGCTCCTTCCTCGAGTGAGGCTTGAGCCCGGGGGTGTGGAGGTGCCCATACCCGAGTCTGTCTCCCCCCTACCAAGATGGCAGAAGTTACCAATGGATTCAAAGTTTCCGGTCAACCCCGCCCCGCGCGGTGAGGTGACTTTCGTCACGACCAAGATGTGCCAACCGGTATGTGGTAGTTGCCAGATTTTTAACACGTTGCACTTCAAAAAATTGCTTTATTTCGGCGAATAAAGAGTACTTTTTGTCTTAAATTAACTAAATATATGCATATTCTATCAAAGTCTTGATCATTAAAAATAGATCAGTTCGAAAATACTTTAGAAAAATAATAACATTTTATATCACATTTTTAAAAAGCTACTTTCAATCAGAAATTATACATTAATTATACATTATTTGTAACTAAAATCACTGATAATGATAATTCAATCCGCAAGAGTTGACCCTTCATTAACCCTATTATTTAGACTTAAAATATCAGAAAGGCCAATTTCGATTACTCGAATACATTTTTTTTTTAAATTGCGTGAAACAAAACAAAAACTAATGTATTCCTACTTCATTTCAAATTTTTCGGACTGTGGGTTTCAGGCGTACAAATCAAAACAACACAAAGACTTTGACCTCACCGACCCCTACAACCGCACGATGAAAAGTGAGTACGTGGCACTGCATGACCCCAGTCTGAAGGCCTGGTTCGCCAAGCCCCACATCAGGAAGAAGGTAGATCTCACGTCTGCTGCGTCTGGCTACAGCAGTTCCTCGTCTGTCTCGTCTTTTTTGTTATACTTTATGACACTAAACATTGATTTTAGTGTAGGTGAATCTCATTTGTTACATCTGGCTACAGCAGTTCCTTGTCTGTCTCTTGTCTTTTTTTGTTATACTTTATGACACTAAACATTGATTTTAGTGTAGGTGAATCTCATTTGTTACATCTGGCTACAGCAGTTCCTTGTCTGTCTCTTGTCTTTTTTTGTTATACTTTATGACACTAAACATTGATTTTAGTGTAGGTGAATCTCATTTGTTACATCTGGCTACATTAGTTCCTTGTCTGTCTCTTGTCTTTTTTTGTTATACTTTATGACACTAAACATTGATTTTAGTGTAGGTGAATCTCATTTGTTACATCTGGCTACATTAGTTCCTTGTCTGTCTCTTGTCTTTTTTGTTATAATTTATACGATTACACATGTATTTTAGTGTAGATGAATCTCAATTGCTACATCTGGCTACAACAGTTCCGTGTCTGTCTCTTGTCTTTTTTGTTATACTTTGTAACACTAAATATGATTTTAGTGTAGGTGAATCTCAATTGTTACATCTGGCTACAGTAGTTCCTCGTCTGTCTCTTGTCTTTTTTGTTATACTTTATGACACTTAACATGTATTTTAGTGTAGGTGAATCTCAATTGCTACATCTGGCTACAACAGTTCCGTGTCTGTCTCTTGTCTTTTTTGTTATACTTTATGACACTTAACATGTATTTTAGTGTAGGTGAATCTCAATTGTTACTGTTAATATAATTGATAGATTCGATCTCCTTAGATGGTTTCGTGATTTTCCTGCACGTGAAATTTTCGAAAAGATGCCTGAAAAAAACTCTGCTCATGGTTGGGTTTAGCCTTCTGCTCACAAAAGGTCACTTAAACATGCTGACGACACATTATAGTCAGCAATAAGACTGATCTCGTGTTTTAGCCGTACCCCCAAATTCCACAGCTGATTAGCCGTACCCCCACATTCCACAGCTGATTAGCCGTTACCCCCCCCCCCCCCCCCACATTCCACAGCTGATTAGCCGTACCACCCACATTCCACAGCTGATTAGCCGTACCCCCCACATTCCACAGCTGATTAGCCGTACCCCCACATTCCACAGCTGATTAGCCGTACCCCCCCCCCCCACATTCCACAGCTGATTAGACGTACCCCCCACATTCCACAGCTGATTAGCCGTACCCCCACATTCCACAGCTGATTAGCCGTACCCCCCACATTCCACAGCTGATTAGCCGTACCCCCCACATTCCACAGCTGATTAGCCGTACCCCCACATTCTACAGCTGATTAGCCGTACCCCCCCCCCCCCCCCCACATTCCACAGCTGATTAGCCGTACCCCCCACATTCCACAGATGATTAGCCGTACCCCCACATTCCACAGCTGATTAGCCGTACCCCCCACATTCCACAGCTGATTAGCCGTACCCCACATTCCACAGCTGATTAGCCGTACCCCCACATTCTACAGCTGATTAGCCGTACCCCCCCCCACATTCCACAGCTGATTAGCCGTACCCCCACATTCCACAGCTGATTAGCCGTACCCCCCACATTCCACAGCTGATTAGCCGTACCCCCACATTCCACAGCTGATTAGCCGTACCCCCACATTCTACAGCTGATTAGCCGTACCCCCCCACATTCCACAGCTGATTAGCCGTACCCCCCACATTCCACAGCTGATTAGCCGTACCCCCACATTCCACAGCTGATTAGCCGTACCCCCCCACATTCCACAGCTGATTAGCCGTACCCCCACATTCCACAGCTGATTAGCCGTACCCCCACATTCTACAGCTGATTAGCCGTACCCCCCCCCCCCCCCCACATTCCACAGCTGATTAGCCGTACCCCCCCCCCCACATTCCACAGCTGATTAGCCGTACCCCCCACATTCCACAGCTGATTAGCCATACCCCCCCCCCCCACATTCCACAGCTGATTAGCCGTACCCCCCACATTCCACAGCTGATTAGCCGTACCCCCACATTCCACAGCTGATTAGCCGTACCCCCCCCCCCACATTCCACAGCTGATTAGCCATACCCCCCCCCCCCCACATTCCACAGCTGATTAGCCGTACCCCCCACATTCCACAGCTGATTAGCCGTACCCCCACATTCCACAGCTGATTAGCCGTACCCCCCCCCCCCCACATTCCACAGCTGATTAGCCGTACCCCCACATTCCACAGCTGATTAGCCGTACCCCCACATTCTACAGCTGATTAGCCGTACCCCCCCCCCCCCCCCCACATTCCACAGCTGATTAGCCGTACCCCCACATTCCACAGCTGATTGAGCAGAACTTGATCACAGAACAGGGCAACATCTCCTGTAGCGTGAGAGACTTCAACGACTACCGCTACTTTCTACGTCATCAGGCGGTCATCCGGTCACAAAAGTCGGTGACCAGGAAGGTGGAAGAATCGCATGTACAGGTGGGTCCTGTCTCTGTGGCTCCCTGTGTCCTGTCTCTGTGGCTCCCTGGGTCCTGTCTCTGTGGCTCCCTGTGTCCTGTCTCTGTGGCTCCCTGTGTCCTGTCTCTGTGGCTCCCTGGGTCCTGTCTCTGTGGCTCCCTGTGTCCTGTCTCTGTGGCTCCCTGTGTCCTGTCTCTGTGGCTCCCTGTGTCCTGTCTCTGTGGCTCCCTGGGTCCTGTCTCTGTGGCTCCCTGGGTCCTGTCTCTGTGGCTCCCTGTGTCCTGTCTCTGTGGCTCCCTGTGTCCTGTCTCTGTGGCTCCCTGGGTCCTGTCTCTGTGGCTCCCTGGGTCCTGTCTCTGTGGCTCCCTGGGTCCTGTCTCTGTGGCTCCCTGGGTCCTGTCTCTGTGGCTCCCTGGGTCCTGTCTCTGTGGCTCCCTGGGTCCTGTCTCTGTGGCTCCCTGGGTCCTGTCTCTGTGGCTCCCTGTGTCCTGTCTCTGTGGCTCCCTGTGTCCTGTCTCTGTGGCTCCCTGGGTCCTGTCTCTGTGGCTCCCTGGGTCCTGTCTCTGTGGCTCCCTGGGTCCTGTCTCTGTGGCTCCCTGTGTCCTGTCTCTGTGGCTCCCTGTGTCCTGTCTCTGTGGCTCCCTGGGTCCTGTCTCTGTGGCTCCCTGGGTCCTGTCTCTGTGGCTCCCTGTGTCCTGTCTCTGTTGCTCTCTGTGTCTGTGGCTTCGTGTGTCTGTGGCTTCGTGTGTCTGTGGTTCCATGTGTCTGTGGCTTCGTGTGTCTGTGGTCCCATGTGTTCTGTGTCTGTGGCTTCGTGTGTCCTGTGTCTGTGGCTTCGTGTGTCTGTGGCTTCGTGTGTCTGTGGCTTCGTGTGTCTGTGACTTCGTGTGTCTGTGGCTTCGTGTGTCTGTGGCTTCGTGTGTCTGTGGCGTCGTAAGGATGGTAGGATGTATTTGTTCTGAGATAGCAATGCATAGACTTAGCCGCTTTAGAATACGCTTGGTTTTGTTAGAATGGAACTTGTTTAATCAGAAATAGTATAGAAGTATTTGATACTTTTTAGCCGTCTACAGAGCGCAAGTATTGGACGTTAATTATTTATTTAAATATCACGTCACCCACCTTCTTTTATAAGCTCAGTTAAAACTGTCAACGGCTTTCATAAAAAATACAACAGTTTAACAGCAATGTGAAATATGTTCTCCTCTTTGGTTCTGTGAAGTGGAGAGTTACACAAACTAGCAACAACAAACTTCAGACTTTCATTAACGGATGTCTCTGACGCGTATTGAACATCAGGTGGCTAAAAAAATTGCCAATGCCTTGCTGTGGAGAAAAACTAGGCAATACCTTATTGGCAAAGAAATACAAAAGTGCAAATAGAGATGGATTGGACACACCTTGCGTAAACCAACTAGCAACATCACTAGACAGGCACTAGATTGGAACCCCTTATGAAAGAGGAAAGTAAGAAGGCCAAAACAAATGTGGAAAAGGTCAGCTGTAAGTGAAGCAGAAGCAGCCGGAAAGTCGTTGGCCCAACTTGGAGGAATCCCTCCACAACCGAGTACGACGGAGAGGTGTGGCTGTGTCCCTGTGATCCATAAGGGGTCCACAGGAATGATGATGATGATGACATAATCTTACTAGAGCCTTTTAAAATACCTCTTTAAAACAAAAATAAAAACCCGAAATATTTGTTGGTATTTGTTTAGGCCGTAAGAATGTGTTTATTATGTCAAAAAGTATAAACTGAACACTTATAAGGAAAAGATTTTCAAACCCCATACACTAAATATCGAAAAGCCTACAATTTCCTTTAGGTTTTTGTTCTGTCAAGCCTTGTTAGTTCATTTAAAGTAAACAAAACAAAAAAAAAAAAAAAAAAAAAAAAAAAAAAAAAAAAAAACAGCACAGTCATCAATTTACTGTTCGTAAACATAAAATAATAAAAAAAAAACGAATTGTAATGTTTAACAAGCGTCAAGGCCACGTTGTTTGTTGGTCCTAAGTTTGTAACTGTAACTAGTACATAAAGATAAACTATGTGAATGTTATTGAAACAAAACTGTATCAAGCAAAAAAATTTGGTTATGTTCTAGGCCTATTTTCGAGAATTTTCTTTTTTTTTTAAACGGAACTCACCGAATTATTGCCATTTTTTTTTCGACAAAAAAAAAGCAACCCTCAATCTTGTTCTTAATGCTGCAAATTACAGCGCCGTAATTTTAGTTACTAGCAGAACTTAGAACTTCATTAGTGTTGTAGATAATAAAGGGTTCGTCCATAACAGACATAAGTTTTTTTTTATCCCTGTCAGCTTTACCTCCTGCGTCCCCCCCCCCCCGAAAAAGATATAAATAAATAAATCCTGATGTTCACATTGCGTCACTTATTTCAAGCATGCCACCCACCATCCCCGACAACGTCCTAATCTTCTGCTCCCCCCCCCCTTACAATTATAGTTACAATGAAATAATACATATTGCTATAATATTAATTTTTTTGGGGGTAAAAATATACATGGTACTATTTTTTCTCCCCCCCCCCCCCCCATCCCCACACGCACCCTCCGCATCACCGTCATTGTCTGTGACGTTATTTATAGACGACCCCCCCCCCCCCATTATAAAATATTCTACCAGTTACCTAACACTAACTCTATCGACTAAATTTTCATTGTCCCCAGCAACGACGAGAACGGATACTCCAAGAAAAGAAACTGAAAGCGGAAGTGTTTGGTGTCGAGGTCAAGTACAAACTGCTCAAGGCCAAGCAGACGAACAAAGATATTGAAGATGAAAAAAGGAGGAAGTAAGGGATAGATAAAGAGTTAAAATGTTTTACGTTTTACGATTACATTTGGATTTCATCCAACAGCCTGTTATGTGCCACGTAGGAAATGTATCCGATTTTTCTTTTCTGGATTTGCTTCCTTAGTCTTTGTCCACCAAAGAACGAACTACAAGGCAGGAGTTGTTTTATTTTAGAGTTTTCAGTCTTAGAAGGGTTGCTGTCTTCAGCTAACGAGCCTCATCTGCTTGGGGTTTCGAACACGGGACTTTTGGTTTAGCAGCCATGGGTTTTACCGACCCGACCACGCCGACTTATGATTAAAATTTAAAAAATAAAATTCGGACACATGCAGCAGTTACAGTAAAAGATTGTCTCCAGAGGTCTGAGAAGCGGCAAGGATGTAGTAGTGAGGGGTGGGGTGTGCTGTGAGATGAGACTTTTTATGGGCTGTTCATGAATAGCACGAACCTGCGGTTTAAATTGAGGGGAGGGGTCTGATATTTGTCAATATGGTGTACTTGCACACAGGCAGTAGCAACAATAGGCCTTCCGTATACTTTACGTTAATTCTTGCCAGTAAACTTTACGTTAGTTCTTATCAGTAAACTGGACGATAGTTCTTGCCAGTAAACTTTACGTTAGTTCTTATCAGTAAACTGGACGATAGTTCTTGCCAGTAAACTTTACGTTAGTTCTTATCAGTAAACTGGACGATAGTTCTTGCCAGTAAACTTTACGTTAGTTCTTATCAGTAAACTGGACGATAGTTCTTGCCAGTAAACTTTACGTTAGTTCTTATCAGTAAACTGGACGATAGTTCTTGCCAGTAAACTTTACGTTAGTTCTTATCAGTAAACTGGACGATAGTTCTTGCCAGTAAACTTTACGTTAGTTCTTATCAGTAAACTGGACGATAGTTCTTGCCAGTAAACTTTACGTTAGTTCTTATCAGTAAACTGGACGATAGTTCTTGCCAGTAAACTTTACGTTAGTTCTTATCAGTAAACTGGACGATAGTTCTTGCCAGTAAACTTTACGTTAGTTCTTATCAGTAAACTGGACGATAGTTCTTGCCAGTAAACTTTACGTTAGTTCTTATCAGTAAACTGGACGATAGTTCTTGCCAGTAAACTTTACGTTAGTTCTTATCAGTAAACTGGACGATAGTTCTTGCCAGTAAACTTTACGTTAGTTCTTATCAGTAAACTGGACGATAGTTCTTGCCAGTAAACTTGACCGCTGACACTAAGCGACGCATGTTGTCAGTAAACTTGACCGCTGACACTAAGCGACGCATCTTGTCAATAAACATGACCAGTGTCACGTGATAAGTTTTCTCTACCGGGTGCCAGGTTTGAGGAGAAGCAACAGAGACAAGAGGAGAGGCGGAAGGAGGTGGAGCACGTCAAGCTGATGAGGTCAAGGTCGTACCGGGAGTTCGAGAAGCTGAGGCAGCGGGAGGAGAACACGAGGAGGATGGCGGAGAAAAAACTCCTGCAGTTTGAGACGGAGGCTCAGAGGAGGGTGAGTGAGGGCTGGTTTGTGGGGGGGGGGGGGCTGTCTCATGGGGGCTATGTGTGTGTGGGGGGGGGGAGGGCAGGAAGTTGCGGATGGGCCTATTCCGTGGGCGGATGGTGCTTTTTTACTTAACCCATGGGCTGGTGGTTGGGTTGCTTTTCTTTTAGTCATAATACAAGAATGGGCGCATGGGGTTGTTATTTAGTTTATTTCATGGCGTAGTGATAATAAAATATGGTCCTATATATTCCTAATTGTTTATCATTGTGATAGTATGCTGGCATTGTAGTTTTCGTGGTCAGTGTTTATTAAGGCATACAGTGCTAATATGTGATAACATAGTTGTCTACTAATGGGTCTATACAGTTCTTGTATCTTACCATAGGATGTTATTATGGGTATGGAAATTCATAGTACTATACAGTGCTTATACATTCATGTATATTATAGGCCTATATATATATATATATATATATATATATATATATATATATATATATATATATATATATATATATATATATATCACACAGCTGAATATAATCGATTACATTCGAGAGCAACGATTCCAGCAACACGATCAAAAGGTCAAAGAGGCCTGGAGAAAAAAACGGGAATACCAGATGAAGATGTTGGCGGAGGAGGAGAAACAGAGACTTCGTGTGGAGAAGCAGAAGGAGGTAGAGAAGAGGAAATACGAAGAGGAGATGATGAAACGGTTGACGAAAAATCAAGGTAGAGGACTGTGTTCGTACTTTAAATAGGAAGAGGTTTTCCAAGTTAGAAAGAAATTGTGCATTAAATCAAAAAAGCACAAAGTTTTCTAGCGAGAAATGACAGTTTAAAAATTGATACTTTGAGTCAGATGCTGACTTGGGATTCTATCCAGCTAGGTAGAAGTGAGATAACATGATTTAAATGCAATCCTGTGATATTAAAATTATTTTTATTTTGTAGTGTCTCGTTTAGTGAATAAAGAGGACAAGGAAAGAATAAGAAGTGACAAAAATGAGATTTTTGAACAACGTCTAAATCAAGTGCTGAAGGTACGTACGGTTTAAGGTCTGCCCGTGTGTCTGTCCGTTCGTCTGTCTGTCTGTCTCTCTTTCCGTCCTTTCGTCTGACCGTGTCTCCGTTCTTCTGTGTGTCTGTCCGTTCGTCTTACCGTCTGTCTCTCTTTCCGTCCTTTCGTCTGTCCGTGTCTCCGTTCTTCTGTGTGTCTGTCCGTTCGTCTGACCGTCTGTCTCGATGTCCGTCTGTGTGTTTATCCGTTCTTCTATGTGTCTGTCCGTTCGTATGTTCGTCTGTCTCTCTGTCCGTCAATTCGTCTGACCGTCTGTCCGTTCGTATGTGCGTCTGTCTCTCTGTCCATCAATTCGTCAATTCGTCTGACCGTCTGTCCGTTCGTCTGCTCGTCCATCCGTCCATCATGCAAGACATTCATCAGCCCACCTCCCACCAACTATAACCCAACTTTGTATTTAAGCCGGTTTTCTCAGCTGCTTCATATTATCATTCACACTCTATCTCTCCACAAACTGTTGGCTATTTGATCAACTTGTAGGACACTGAGAAGAAAACTCTGTGGAAGTTTGAGAACACCCAAGATTCCAAACGCCGAAACAGCTTCTGGATTGTAGAGGTCAGTACATTTCAAAACTGGTAACCTTTCAGAATGTATTTAAATTCGGTTAAAATGGTATTTAAATTAGGTTAAAATTTTACTAAAATTTTTGTTAAAATTAGATTAAAATTAGATTAAAATTAGATTAAAATTTGATTAAAATTTGATTAAAATTTGGTTAAAATTTGATTAAAATTTGGTTAAAATTTGGTTAAAATTTGATTAAAATTTGATTAAAATTTGATTAAAATTTGATTAAAATTTGATTAAATTTTGATTAAATTTTGATTAAAATTCGATTAAAATTCGATTAAAATTTGATTAAAATTTGATTAAAATTTGATTAAAATTTGATTAAAATTTGGTAAAGATTTGGTTAAAATTTGATTAAAATTTGGTTAAAATTTGGTTAAAATTTGATTAAAATTTGATTAAAATTTGATTAAAATTTGATTAAAATTTGATTAAAATTTGATTAAATTTTGATTAAAATTTGATTAAAATTTGATTAAAATTTGGTTAAAATTTGATTAAAATGTGATTAAAATTTGATAAAAATTTGGTTAAAATTTGATTAAAATTTTGTTATAATTTGGTTAAAATGTTCGTTAAACTTGTGTATCTTCCAGGAAGTTCTACAGCGTCTGGGTCTGAGTTCTGAGGTCCCTTTGAACAACCTGCTGAGTCTTGCCGTGTCCAAAGCTGTCAGGAAACTGGAAACGGCTTCCGTCATCTCTGAGGAGCAGCAGCTGTTAAGTTCGGTGGGTCGGGTACCGGGTGGTGGTGGGTCGGGTACCCGATGTTGGTGGGTCGGGTGTGGGTTGTGTGTGGGTCGGGTACCGGGTGGTGGTGGGTCGGGTGTGGGTCGTGTGTGGGTCGGGTACCGGGTGGTGGTGGGTCGGGTGTGGGTCGGGTACCCGATGTTGGTGGGTCGGGTGTGGGTTGTGTGTGGGTCGGGTACCCGATGTTGGTGGGTTGTGTGGGTCGGGTACCCGATGTTGGTGGGTCGTGTGTGGGTCGGGTACCCGATGTTGGTGGGTCGTGTGTGGGTCGGGTACCCGATGTTGGTGGGTCGGGTGTGGGTTGTGTGTGGGTCGGGTACCCGATGTTGGTGGGTTGTGTGGGTCGGGTACCCGATGTTGGTGGGTCGTGTGTGGGTCGGGTACCCGATGTTGGTGGGTCGTGTGTGGGTCGGGTACCCGATGTTGGTGGGTCGGGTACCCGATGTTGGTGGGTCGGGTGTGGGTTGTGTGTGGGTCGGGTACCCGATGTTGGTGGGTTGTGTGGGTCGGGTACCCGATGTTGGTGGGTCGGGTGTGGGTTGTGTGTGGGTCGGGTACCCGATGTTGGTGGGTTGTGTGGGTCGGGTATCCGATGTTGGTGGGTCGTGTGTGGGTCGGGTACCCGATGTTGGTGGGTTGTGTGGGTCGGGTACCCGATGTTGGTGGGTCGTGTGTGGGTCGGGTACCCGATGTTGGTGGGTCGGGTATCCGATGTTGGTGGGTCGTGTGTGGGTCGGGTACCCGATGTTGGTGAGTCGGGGAAAAGATGCGTTAATGCTTGAGGGTTCGAACCTATGAGGTAACATTGCTTGTAATTTTATATTTTAGGGTTGAGGAAGAAATACATGATTTTTGTACTACAAATTAATAGCAAAAGGAATTTCTAAGAAGGTTACTTATAAGTCATCCGTACATATTCTGTATGCATTTAGTTTTTTAAGATTTCGTTTGGTGATTTTTGTCTCCTAGATCATCCATCTGATGATACGTCAGGTCAAGGACGTTTACCTGACCAGGGATGAGAACTTCCTGGCTGTGACGGACAACGATGACGATGAGGACAAGGAAGAGAGGCCAGCCCCACCCAGGTTAGTATCACGTGATCCTGTTCAATATTACAAGGTCAGTCCAACCCAGGTTAGTATCCCAAGGTCCTGTTCAATATTACAAGGAAATAGTCTCGTCCTTCTCTATACACACGTGTAGGTGCTAACTTGTACACTCTTGTTCTCTCTGGCTTGATCACATGTATTTTACTTGCTTGTAACCTCGCCAGTGGCGTAGCGAGGTCGGGTGTCACCCGGTGCGCCACTTAATGGTGTCACCCCCCGGAGGCGTAGCAACCTTTTCCCGGGGACAAAGTTTTTCAAATTTTCGATTTGCACCCCCACCCTCAAACTTTCGATTTGCACCCCCCTCAAACTTTCGATTAGCACCCCCCCTCAAGTTTTTCTCTATATATTTTGCTCTTTTTTGCCTTGGTGTCACCCCCCTAAATGGTGTCAGCCGGTGCGGTCACCCAACTGGTCCTATTACGTCTTCTGTTGGTCTTTCCTCCTAGCTTGTAACTACCCCTACCCGCTACTGTTAGGTTTTTTGTTTGTTTGCTGCTAGCTTATAACCTCCCCCCCCCACCCTCTGATACTGTTACGTTTTCTGTTTGTGTTTCTTGCTACCTTATAACCTCCCCCCCCCCCCCACCACCCCCACCCCTCTGGTACTGTTACGTTTTCTGTTTGTTTTTCCTACCAGTTTGTTCGGAGATCTGGACGTGACCGAGGAAACAGAAAAAGCTGTCCGCATCTCCATGCTTGCCACCATAGACTTTGCCGAGTAAGTTGGGCCGGTTTCCCGAAAAATGCGCGAACGGAAATCTGAGCAACCGGAAAGCTGCGTAAACAGAAAAGTGCGCAAAGGCAAACTAATTATACCGATACACTTCAATTTTGTCATTTTTCGTGGCAAAGTGTTTTATTTTGCTACAATGTACATGTGGTCATTATTTGCTTATGTCTATAAATGATCGATTTAAGTAAACAAAATGCCCCCGCGTACTTTTTTTTTTGCGCAATTTTCCGTTGCGCATCTTTCCGATCACCTGTTTAGCCGATAAAATTATGAAAATACAGAACAAATATTTACTACATTTATGGATCGCGTATATATATCTCATCAAATGAGATAATGTATAAGTTACCTGTGTCAAATGATTTGTACAAGCTACAAAAAAGAGAATTACAGAAATGTAAAGGCATGTTATTTAACATTTCTTTGCACCAGACTCACTATATATAACACAATACAGCAAAATTATAAACCATCCCCACCATATATAACACAATACAGCAAAATTATAAACCATCCCTACTATAAATAACATAATGCAGGAAAATATTAAACCAGCCCCACCCCTTTCGTGTTGTATACTGCAAGCACGTCCTCTAGTTGTTTTATAAATCGACGAGTTAAAAATGACTCGTTAAACCTGCGTGTTGTCAATCCCAGCCAAAGCTCCAAGACGTGGAGAAACCCCGTCACCCTGGGGACGGCCCCGTGCCTGCCGAGGATGGAGGAGAGCGACCATCCGAGAGACCAGGAGCAGCTGTTCTCCCGGAGGATGAGGATAGGAGAGACGGACGCCTTCCATCTAGACAAGGAGCTGAGCAGTTTCCTGGAGCTGCTTCAGGTACGTTCGCAGTCTGTAAGGTTACATCTGGACAAGGGGCTGAGCAGTTTCCTGGAGCTGCTTCAGGTACGTTGGCAGTCTGTAAGGTTCCATCTGGACAAGGAGCTGCTTCAGGTACGTTCGAAGTCTGTAAGGTTACATCTGGACAAGGGGCTGAGCAGTTTCCTGGAGCTGCTTCAGGTACGTTGGCAGTCTGTAAGGTTCCATCTGGACAAGGAGCTGCTTCAGGTACGTTCGAAGTCTGTAAGGTTACATCTGGACAAGGGGCTGAGCAGTTTCCTGGAGCTGCTTCAGGTACGTTCACAGTCTGTAAGGTTCCATCTGGACAAGGAGCTGCTTCAGGTACGTTCACAGTCTGTAAGGTTCCATCTGGACAAGGAGCTGAGCAGCTTCCTAGAGCTGCTTCAGGTACGTTCACAGTCTGTAAGGTTACATCTGGACATGGAGCTGCTTCAGGTACGTTGGCAGTCTGTAAGGTTACATCTGGACAAGGAGCTGCTTCAGGTACGTTCACAGTCTGTAAGGTTCCTTCTGGACAAGGAGCTGAGCAGTTTCCTGGAGCTGCTTCAGGTACGTTCACAGTCTGTAAGGTTACATCTGGACATGGAGCTGCTTCAGGTACGTTGGCAGTCTGTAAGGTTACATCTGGACAAGGAGCTGCTTCAGGTACGTTGGCAGTCTGTAAGGTTCCATCTGGACAAGGAACTGAGCAGTTTCCTGGAGCTGCTTCAGGTACGTTGGCAGTCTGTAAGGTTCCATCTGGACAAGGAACTGAGCAGTTTCCTGGAGCTGCTTCAGGTACGTTGGCAGTCTGTAAGGTTCCATCTGGACAAGGAACTGAGCAGTTTCCTGGAGCTGCTTCAGGTACGTTGGCAGTCTGTAAGGTTACATCTGGACAAGGAGCTGCTTCAGGTACGTTGGCAGTCTGTAAGGTTACATCTGGACAAGGAGCTGCTTCAGGTACGTTGGCAGTCTGTAAGGTACAAAGACTATGGAGGCAATGCTAAAAAGTCGGAGTCAACGGGGCATAGGGCGCATAAAACGTTGACACGTGTTGGAGGAATTGCTATCCGACATTATAATAAAGAACGAAAAAGTTAGATACACAGAACTGTGTCTTATTTACTAAAGCATACATTAGTCATATGTATGTTTTTGTATTAATTAAGCATACATGTCATATGTTTAGTCTGTTTTACCAAAGCATTTATTTACGACATGCATATGCCTGATTACCTTAGCTCATATCTCTTAAGTATAATATGCCCGTTTTTTTTAAATAAATGCGTAAATTTTAACTGAATCTAAGCACATTAAATCAGAGAGGAATGACCAAATCCTCAAAAATTAAAGAATCAAAATGCACGAAATCGAAGGCTGGTTGTTATGAGATGTTGTCATTTCACCAAATATATTTGTGCATGGATGTAGAAAGTATAAAAGGAGAGGGGGAGGAATGAACTTAGATGTTGAAATGTAGAATTTGTTAGACTTGCGTGGTTGAAAAAATATTTAAGCAAGCAATTATTTTATTTTTTTTTTTTTTTTCAATGTTAAAGAACGAGAACTTGGACATGAAGCAGATGAAAGCCATCATCACACTGTTTCTCAAACTGGCCCACCATGAGACCATAGTCTCCGCTGACCCCTGCGGGCCCATGGAACGAAACCCCGACGGACGGGTCGTCTACGCCTTCTCACCCCTCAGCTCGAAGACCAACATGGAGGACCAGCCCAGGTCGAAGCTGCAGCTGTTGTCTGAGATATACAAGAGCGCGACCAACACTTTCATGGACGCTCCGGACCCGGGTTCGAAACCAGACGGGGAACTGGCCGCAGCCGAGGGGAGGCAGTCACAGCCTTACATTACGGAAAATTTGAGCCAGGCCCAGAAAAATGATTTTTTATCACGAGCTGAAGAGGAGAGATTTGGATTTTCAGAAGAGAAGGACGACATTTCAGCCAGAGCTAATAATCCTCCCTCAGCAATGATTGATGATATTCCTCCGGCTAAAACTGATTATAGCGTGGTTGTAGAAAATGAAGAGGAGCCGCAGATTCCGGAAGAAAGCGGCGCAGAGGTAACTGGCATGAAGGAAAACGTCATCGCCCTAGAGGATGACGTCACCGCCCTAGAGGGTGACGTCACGGATGACGTCATCGCGGTACCCCCGGAAGCGGATTTCACCGAAAACGACGCTCAAGATATAGTCACAGAGGAGAAAACTCGACCCGCGCCGGATGAACCCGGGGATGAAAATCAAAACAAAGTACAAGATGATTCGGAAGAGGAGGGGGGACAACAACCCGAGGAGGTACAAGACACTGAAGAACACCTTGAAGACGAATCTGTAGAGGAATCAGAGTCTCCAAAAGTGGATGCAGATGAACCCGAAGCTACTGAAGAGTACGATGACACGCAAGATGAACCTCAAGAGGAAGCGGAAATAGATAATCAAGAAACGAATGAAATTGCTTCTCCTAGAAACGAAGCCGTTGCTCAAGAACAAGAAGCGGTTGTCGATTCCAATAAAAATTCAGATTCCGTTAAGGAAAAAGTCGGGTCAAATAACGTTGAGGGTACCGGAAATACGGAACGTGACGCCACCATTGCTTCCGGTGTCCTGGAGTCTACTGAAGGCCTAGTGTCTAAACAGAGAAGTGCAACTAAACAGAGAAGTGCAACTAGACAGAGAAGTGCGACTAAACAGAGAAGTGCAACTAAACAGAGAACCGCTAACGAGGAGTTGCGGTTTTCCGTCACAGCTTCATCCTTCGATTATGACGACAATGAGGACTCAGAGAATGAGGAGGAAGGTGAGTTCAAGGGGTGTTGGGTCATCACACATCGTGTAGTTACCACACATCACGTGGTGTCAGCTTTAGTTAGAACTAGTAACTAAAAAGTGGAAAATAAGACTAAAATAATAAAATAATTAAAACTTAATTTTTTTTAAAATAAAATACTTGGTCGCTTAAATATGTAACAGATCTCATTACGACTAAAGGTTTTAAGAAGAAAGCAACTTTTATTTTTTAATTTTTAAAGTATTTGTTTAATTTATGCTATTAGCTCAACATGATATGCTGTTTTCTACCACTATTATTTCAATCAGAGAGTGTTTTCTGTCTTAAGATAAGGGAGAAACTCTGGAGGACAGCGAGACGAAAAGGAGGCGACTCGAGGAGGAGGAGGAGGAAAGGGATTTCGATAAATCGGTGGCTGACGACAACCTCGTTTTGATCACACGTCACTTCCTGTCCAAAATACAGGAGCGAGGCCGGTTGGAGGTATTGGCACGAACAATGTCACAAGCAAACAATGTCACATGCAAATAATGTCACACAGCCAAACAATTTCACAGCAATACAATTTCACAAGCAAATAATGTCACAGCAATACAATGTCACAGTTAAACATTGTCACAGCTAAACAACACAAAGCCAAACAATGTCACAGCCAAACAGAATGTGACAAGATCACACATGATGATTGTGATTGACAACACCCCCCCCCCCCTTCCCAGGGTGTAGGGTTCCCCCCTTCCAGGTTCCACCGTTTCATCGTAACGCTATTGGCCAAGATGTGGAGGAAGGAAGAGCCGGCAGAGCAGCACGTCTTCGGCAAATGGCTGGAGGAGGGGCAAGTCACTGACGTCGCCAAGAGGTAAACACTAAGCTATTAATAGCTCACCGGCCATCTTTGTTTTTGGGCTGAAATAGAAACGGTACTATATAAGGAGCGGCTGGTTAGCGGGTAGTGTTTATCTCGGCCAACGATAGTGGAAATACGCAAGGTGCTTATATCCTCTCATATCTTATTGAGGATGTATACATTGTCTCTCGGTTGAGAGGAAATAAGCACTGTATTTATTTGCGTATTTCCTATGCAGTATGAATATTTTACCGGCTCGATGTTCTCGGCTATTGTACCGGCTTCATGTTCTCGGCTTTTGTACCGGCTTCATGTTCTCGGCTATTGTACCGGCTTCATGTTCTCGGCTATTGTATCGGCTTCATGTTCTCGGCTATTGTACCGGCTTTATGTTCTCGGCTATCGTACCGGCTTCGTGTTCTCGGCTATTGTACCGGCTTCATATTCTCGGCTATCGTACCGGCTTCGTGTTCTCGGCTATTGTACCGGCTTTATGTTCTCGGCTATCGTACCGGCTTCATGTTCTCGGCTATTGTACCGGCTTCATGTTCTCAGCTATTGTACCGGCTTCGTGTTCTCGGCTATTGTACCGGCTTCATATTCTCGGCTATCGTACCGGCTTCGTGTTCTCGGCTATTGTACCGGCTTCGTGTTCTCGGCTATTGTACCGGCTTCCTATTCTCGGCTATCGTACCGGCTTCGTGTTCTCGGCTATTGTACCGGCTTCATATTTTCGGCTATCGTACCGGCTTCGTGTTCTCGGCTATTGTATCGGCTTCATATTTTCGGCTATTGTACCGGCTTCATATTTTCGGCTATTGTACCGGCTTCATGTTCTCGGCTACTGTACCGGCTTCATGTTCTCGGCTATTGTACCGGCTTCATGTTCTCGGCTATTGTACCGGCTTCATGTTCTCCGCTATTGTACCGGCTTCATATTTTCGGCTATTGTACCGGCTTCATATTTTCGGCTATTGTACCGGCTTCATGTTCTCGGCTACTGTACCGGCTTCATGTTCTCGGCTATTGTACCGGCTTCATGTTCTCCGCTATTGTACCGGCTTCATGTTCTCGGCTATTGTACCGGCTTCATGTTCTCCGCTATTGTACCGGCTTCATATTTTCGGCTATTGTACCGGCTTCATGTTCTCGGCTATCGTACCGGCTTCATGTTCTCGGCTATTGTACCGGCTTCATATTCTCGGCTATTGTACCGGCGTCTTCTCAACATTTTTACTTCTTTATGTTAACAATTATACGATGTTGGTAAAGCCACAACTGTACCATGCAGTGTTTCTTCCAGACTGTTTTCTCCGGGGGGGGGGGGGCACTTAAAATTTTCGGGGGGGGGGGGGGGGGGGCGGTAAACTTTCTTCGGGGGGGGGGGGGGCGGACACTGTTAAAATTAAAAGTATATATTTTCTATATAAATTATATACATTTCATTTCGTTCGGGGGGGGGGGGGGGGCGGTAAAAAAATTTCCGAAGAGATTGGAAGAAACTCTGGTACCATGTTCACGTTTCCTACCCTAGGCTTGTGTTCTGCCTGGGGAAGAAACATTTACCTGCCTGTCTCTTGATCAAGTTGGCCACGGGGATCATGGACGCTCTGATGTTAAACATGTCCGACTATGCCAGTTATTTCTCTGACAGCCTCGTGCGAGTGGTACGTCATGTATATATCATAATGGCATATATATATATGTATACAGACTCTCTCATCCTCACACTCTCTCACTGTCGTTTCTTTCACTCTCATTCTCACCCTCTCACGCTCTCTCAGTCTCACAATATGTAACTCTATCACTCTCTTATTTCTTTCACTCTTATTCTCTCTCTTATTTTCTTACCCTCACACTCATCCTCTCATTACTCTCAATCTCCCACCGTCTTATCTCTCTCACCCCCCTCTCTCACCCTCCCACGCCCACGCCCACTCTTTCTCACCCTCACCCTCTCTCTCTCTCTCATTTTCTTACCCTCGCCCTCGTACTCATCCTCTCATTTTCTCACTCTCATACCCTGTCTCTCCCACCCTCTCTCTCTCGCCATACCACTCCCACTCTCTTACCCTCTTGTTCATCCTCCCCTTCTCACCCTCCCCCCCCCCCTCTCTCCTCCGTGCAGGTACTGAGCCGTTTCCTGGCCGACCTAGAGAAGGAAAAAGTCAGCATGATCATCGTAGAGCGGACACTCAAGGCGACGCTTGAAGCTTTCGATGATTACGAGACCGCGGACGTGGATTTTATGGTGGGCTCAAAAACGCCATGGCATGGGTGGGGGGGGGGGGCCCAGACACCATGACTGGGATGGGGGCCCAGACACACCATGACTGGGGTGGGGGGCACAGACACACCATGACTGGGATGGGGTGAGGGGGTGACTTGGGGAGCTCACCTGATTTGAGTTGTCTTTAGGTTGAATGTTTTTTTTTAAAACTACGTCACGCTTTTTAAAAATCTTTACCCCCCCCCCCCCCCAATCTTTACACGATTACTAGAAAACGTCTAACTCCCCTCTGCAAAATGATGTCAAACCTCAGCCTCCCTGCTCTCCAACTTTCCATAGAATATAATTTTTCCTTTTGTCTTTTAAAAAAAACTTCAGTAAGATTTATATTAGTCCAATTTTATAACAATGCGCAACAACAAATATTGAAAATACTAACTTAAAAAAAACAACACTTTTAAAATGCAAAAATGTGACACCACGCTTAACCTCACATCGCCTCACCATAAACTGTCACAAAAGTCGTAACCCCTCCCTCCAAAACTTAGATTTCAAGTACGTATTGACTGAAATGAAAATGCTAAAGGCAATATTATTTTTAATGATTACTTTTTAGAGGTCCTTTAGTCAAAGGTCATACGTTTCGTATTTAAAATGTTGAGTCCTAATTTTAGGAACAATTTATTTCAACGCGGCACTACATAGTGTATACACGAATCAGGTTTTTCGCATTTGTATTTCAACTAAAATCGAGAATTTCCTTTATCTACACCTAAGCTGGAGGTCTTCCTACTGGAGTGTTTAGAGAAGGCTGAAGATATGGTCTCCGATGGTGTCTTCAACAAACGGATGGATTTCATCAACGCGGTTTTTGACGTTGAAAATTTCCCTCGCGAGAAACGGGAGTACTTGTACGCCATCTCATGGAAAGATTACATCCAGTGAGTTTTTTAATTAACCATAATTTGGTCTACAGTTTTTTGTTTCGTTATGTTTTTGGCATTAGTTTTTGTTTGCTCATATTAGTACATCCAGATATGTGGGTACCCATTTTCTTAGAGCTACTTTTTCTGTATTTTTTTTAATTAGTTTTTTTTTTCTTCTCAGGAATTTTCCTTCCAGCTTGTTACTTTACATTTTAAGTCCCAAATTCTTGTTTTAATGTTTAACTATCGTTTTGTAATGCTTCCAAACCTGTTATGACTCATAAGTTTTTAGGACTAACTTTCTGCTTCATAATGTTTCTAGGTTTTGTTTTTTACTAATCCTTTTTATCACTAACTTTTTTTCATAGTGTTTCTAGGTTTATGTTTTTACTTATACGCTTTTTAGGACAAACTTTTTGTTTCTTAATGTTTCTAGTCTAATTCTTTTTGGCACCAACTATTTGTTTCGTCATGTTTCTTGGTCAATATTTTTACTGATATGTTTTAACTTTATTTTTACTATCTCGAATATGGAGTATCAAAGAAAAAATGTAATGTTGTAAAGAAAAAATAATCGAAATGGAGGCCCAAATTATATTAACCGTTTCTCTCTCTCTCTCTTGCCTTCTCTCTTCTTTCTCTCTCTCTCTCTCCCTTGACCAGCCGGTCTAAGGCTACCATCCAACTGGACGCACTGACCCCAGAGAAGCGACAGGAACTGAGAGAGATCCTTCTGAAGGTGTCTTACGAGCTAATGGAGCTGGATTCAGACGATAACGTGCGAGAGTGCGTCCACCGACTGAAGACAAGAATGTCTGACAGCAGTTTCAGGGTACGTCGGCGCCGTTTGATGAGCAGTAGCGTAATACATTAGGGCGTGGTATTGAGTTCGAATCCGTTGAACGTCCCTGAGTCCACCCAGCTCTTATGAGTACCTCACTCAAGTTAGGGAAAATAAGGCGGCTGGAAAATGTGCTGACCACACTATCCCACCATTTACCGAGGTCGCTGAAATAGACGAACTCTACTTCATCTGTACTATGTGTCTTGGGCACGAAATGGAAAAGATGATGATTAGGGCATAGTAATAGTTCTAAGGTACCTCAGTGCTGTTCCCTGGACACTAGCGTTATACGCTGGCCTGGCTTAGTAGTCTATTGAGCGGATATAGCAGAGTTTATTGTTTCTGTGAACGTGGCATCAGAGGCGTAGCGAGCGTCCCCGGGCGTCGACCTTAGGAGGGCGCCAAAATGGGTTGGAAAAACAAATTGAAAGTTTGAGGGGGGGGGGTGTAAATCAAAAGTTCGAGGGGGGGGGGGTGCAAATCGAAATTTTGTCCCCGGGCGCCGGGAAGGGTCGCTACGCCTATGCGTGGCATTTAACAATATTGTGGTCAGCACTATCCCCAGTCGCCTTTACTTTCCCTAACATAAGTCAGGTACCCATCAGCTCTACGTCAACTTCACGCAGAGCAATGTCTGGGATCTGAACTCAACAATACACTAATAATCATGGCTAAACTTTTATGTTAATTAGATTTAAATGTACTAATCGCATCGGAATCCCACCCTACCCTTTCCGTAGAAACTATGTAAACCTTACTGCAGGGCAATGGTATAGGCAACGTGTTGAATCACCTATAGTATTTTTCAAAGACACAGCCTAACCCAACCTAACCCAACCTAACCTAACCTAACCTAACCAAACCTATCCTAACCTAACCTAACCTAACCTAACCTAACCTAACCTAACCCAACCCAACCCAACCCAACCAAACCCAACCCAACCTAACCTAACCTAACCTAACCTAACCTAACCTAACCTAACCTAACCCAACCCAACCTAACCTAAACTAACCTAACCTAACCTAACCTAACCCAACCCAACCCAACCTAACCTAACACAACCTAACCTAACCTAACCTAACCTAACCTAACCTAACCCAACCTAACCTAACCTAACCTAACCTAACCTAACCTAACCCATCCCAACCCAACCTAACCTTTCCTAACCTAACCTAACCTAACCTAACCTAACCTAACCTAACCTAACCTAACCTAACCTAACCTAACCTAACCCAACCTAACCTAACCTAACCTAACCTAACCTAACCTAACCTAACCTAACCTAACCTAACCTAACCTAACCTAACCTAACCTAACCTAACCTAACCTAACCTAACCTAACCTAACCTAACCTAACCTAACCTAACCTAACCTAACCTAACCTAACCCAACCCAACCCAACCTAACCTAACCTAACTTAACCTAACCTAACCTAACCTAACCTAACCTAACCTAATCTAATCTAATCTAACCTAACCCAACCCAACCCAACCCAACCTAACCTAACCTAACCTAACCAAACCTAACCTAACCTAACCTAACCTAACCTAACCCAACCTAAACTAACCTAACCTAACCTAACCCAACCCAACCCAACCCAACCCAACCTAACCTAACCTAACCTAACCCAACCTAACCTAACCTAACCTAACCCAACCTAACCTAACCTAACCTAACCTAACCTAACCTAACCTAACCTAACCTAACCTAACCTAACCTAACCTAACCTAACCTAACCTAACCTAACTTAACTTAACTTAACCTAACCTAACCTAACCTAACCTAACCTAACCTAACCTAACTTAACTTAACCTAACCTAACCTAACCTAACCTAACTTAACCTAACCTAACCTAACCTAACCTAACTTAACCTAACCTAACTTAACTTAACTTAACTTAACTTACCTTACCTTAACCTAACCTAACCTAACCTAACCTAACCTAACCTAACCTAACCTAACCTAACCTAACCCAACCTTACCTAACCTAACCTAACCTAACCTAACCTAACTTAACCTAACCTAACCTAACCTAACCTAACCTAACTTAACCTAACCTAACCTAACCTAACCTAACCTAACCAAACTAACCTAACCTAACCTAAACTAACCCAACCTAACCTAACCTAACCTAACTTAACCTAACCTAACCTAACCTAACTTAACCTAACCTAACCTAACCTAACCTAACCAAACTAACCTAACCTAACCTAAACTAACCCAACCTAACCTAACCTAACCTAACCTAACCTAACTTAACCTAACCTAACCTAACCTAACCTAACCAAACTAACCTAACCTAACCTAACCTAACCTAAACTAACCCAACCTAACCTAACCTAACCTAACCTAACCTAACTTAACCTAACCTAACCTAACCTAACTTAACCTAACCTAACCTAACCTAACCTAACCTAACCTAACCAAACTAACCTAACCTAACCTAACCCAACCCAACCTACCCTAACCTAATCCAACCTAACCTAACTTAACCCAACCTAACCTAACCTAACCAGACGAAGCTGGTCCTGATCCTGACGGCTAACGTGGTCAACGCCCTCCTACCCACAATACAACAGTGTAAAATCTCCAGCATGACCTTGCTGCCCGCTGCCCTCAATACGTCACAGTCAGCTAATGCCACCACAGCTTCGAACCTAGGATTTGACACTCTAGGTGTGTTGGTGTGTTAGTTGGTGTGTTGGTTTGGTGTGGCGGTTGATGTGTTGGGTGTGTTGTTGGTGTGTTGGTGTGTTGGTGTGTTGGTTTGTTGGTGTGTTGTTGGTGTGTTGGTGTGTTGGTTTGTTGGTGTGTTGGTTTGTTGGTTTGTTGGTGGTGTGTTGGTGTGTTGGTTTGTTGGTGGTGTGTTGGTTTGTTGGTGTGTTGGTGTGTTAGTTGGTGTATTGGTTTGGTGTGGTGGTTGGTGTGTTGGGTGTGTTGTTGGTGTGTTGGTGTGTTGGTTTGTTGGTGTGTTGGTTTGGTGTGTTGGCTTGGTGTGTTGGTTTGGTGTGTTGGTTTGGTGTGTTGGTTTGGTGTGTTGGTTTGGTGTGTTGGCTTGGTGTGTTGGTTTGGTGTGTTGGTTTGGTGTGTTGGCTTGGTGTGTTGGTTTGGTGTGTTGGTTTGGTGTGTTGGCTTGGTGTGTTGGTTTGGTGTGTTGGTTTCATGTATTTATTTGGTGTTTTTATCTGTTTTGCGTGTTCGTTTGTTTATTTAGTTAGCTTGTTTGTCTGTTTTTGTGTGTATGCTTGTTTGTTGTTTTGATTTGTTTGGTGTGTCTATTTGTCTATAATTAAACATATAATTAAACAATCAACATGAAACACTCAAAACGACTACTTCTATTTTACTTTTAAGCAAAGAAACAAAACACCTTGTATATATTTATTTCAACATGTTTGTAAACTATGTATTTAACAATCTGTTGTTGCTATGTTTTTTTTATTAAGGGGAGAGCATTGTAGTGCTGCTAATCGACAAACTGGCCAGAGCTATGGGCACCAACAAGATCAAACCAGCTGAGCTGTCCTGTCTGGCAACTTCCGTTGTTGATCTCTTAGTCTCAGACTTCCAGTACCAAAGGTCTGACCTGCAGGACACTGACCTGGCCGGAGTCTTTGATTCCATCGTTATGCGATTCAGGTAGTTTGTCGGTATAGTTTTTTTTTATTACGCACTAGTGATTATTTATCTAGTTAAGTATGTATCTAATTAAGTATGTATCTAATTAATTATATTTCTAGTTAATGATGTATCGAGCTAATTATGTATATAGTTAATTATGTATCTAGTTAATTATGTATCTAATTAATTATGTATCTAGTTAATGATGACCTAGTTAATAATGTAGCGAGTTAATTACATAGCGAGTTAATTATGTAGCGAGTTAATTATTTAGCGAGTTTAAAATGTAACCCGCTAATTGTGCGATGAGTTAATTACTAACCATATTAAATATCCAACAAGTTAATTATTTAACTAGTAATCTGTCAACGTCAAGCATATTTCTCTCCGCCCCTTTCCACCCCTCCCTCCCCACAGGTGTCGTGAGTTCGGCTTCAATGAATCCAAACAGTTCCTCAGCGCTCTCATCCGCCCTTACCTGGCGCTTTTGTTGAGGACCAACAAGGACCTGAGGCTGGCCAAGGTCACAACGATGGACCTGGACGGGGACCAGATCTCCAGCTTTGTGGGGCTCATCACGCAGGTCTTCCTGACCTTCGTGGCCGGGATCGTGGCCCGCATGAACAGGTCAGGGGTGAAGGTCAGACAGACGCCAGATGTTCAGGTCTTGTACGTGTGGAGGACCATCGCCATGTTGGCTGGTGAGGTGAGTCTAAGGCACTTCCGGTTTGTGCAGGACGTCATTATAATCCGAAGAACTTCCGGTTTGTGCAGGATGTCATCATTATACAAAGTATTTCCGGTTTGTGCAGGATGTCATTATAATCTAAAGTACTTCCGGTTTGTGCAGGATGTCATTATAATCCGAATAACCTTCGGTTTGTGCTTAATGCCAGCATAATCCGGTTTGTCATTAATGTCATAATAGTACTTAGTACTTCCGCTGTGTGTATCTAGTGCAATTATATTGTAAAACCATTTTCGGCAATCTGACAGTCTTCGGAATTTCATTTCTTTAGGCAAACCGTAGGTACACATCTTTTGTTTGGGCAAACAGACTTCAGGCATCTGTTCATTTGGTAAAATTTTATTCGGGCAATTGTCCATGTGGGCGAATGGTCTGCAAACCATCATTCATTTGAGGTACCCTGACGTGGTCGGGCCGGTTACAGTCATGGTTGCTAAACCGATAAGTGTCGAGTTTAAACCCCCCCCCCCCTTCCACCTCATCCGGGCAGATGAGGTTCGATAGCTGGGATGAGCTTCCCATCTTGGAGAGAGAAAAAAAGCTCAGAAATCAAATACGGGTGGACCCCATTAGGATTACTAACTGCGACACAGTTGATACTAAGCTATTTAAGTAAACTCCCACCCCTTAGGTCCAGCTGTGGAGAGAGGGGGCCTGATACATGGGCAACAATTGGCACTTTTCAACTTAGGGCTCCAGCTTTGTGCATTGACTTCCTAGGCCAATCATCCAATAGCAAACACTCGCCGGCCAATTTTTACTTTCTCGTATATACGTAGTATAGAGAAAGCATTGTAATCGTGCAAAAAAAAATCGAGATTTTTACAAATCTCGACGTTTTACACCTCACTGATACGGAAAAACATAATTTTGCAATCTTGTCCGTATGTCTGTGTGTCTCTGTGTGTGTGTGTCTGCGTGTGTGTGTGTGTGTAAACACGATTACTTGAGTACCGTTACAGCTAGGTTGATGAAATTTCATATATAAGTATTTTATCAAAATCGTAGATCCGTATCAACTTTTGAGCGAATTCCGATAACCGGAAGTGGTACTTTTTCTACTTTGAATTTTTCAAAAGCCTATAACTTGAGTACTATTTCAGATAGATAAATGACATTTCACATGTAAGTAAAAGATCTAATTATCTACCTTCTGTTAAATGTTGAGTAATTTCCGTTGACGGGAAGTACTAATTTACGCTATTTCCGATTTCTCAAAAACGCATCTAAATTTATAAAGTACTAATAATATTGCGCACCATTATGAACATCTTTATTCGTCGTTCGCTTGGTGTGCAATACTTTTTTCTATGAGATTCTATTTTATTTTAAAAAGTTTATGTATTTAAAATGGATTAAAAATCATAACTATATCCCGAGTTCCCATCCCCTGTTGTTTTATATAGGAATATTCGAGAAAGTTTAGGGGAGATCACTCGCGGTTTATTTTTTTAAATTTACGTTGATTGGCGCTTGACAAAATTCTATTTCAATAATCTGTATTAAACAGGTTTAAAACTGTTTTAACTATGCTAGATTGTACAAGATAAATATAAATGGTAGCTGCAGCGAGGTTAATTCAATTAGTAATAAAACAGAAAGTGTTAGTTACCTCACAGACTGTACATGACCATGAGCCATCCATCTTGTGTCCCCCAGGCGAAACATCTGCTCCAGGAAGTCGTGGGGGACAGCCAGAGGTACCCGGGGAAAGGCCGGGTTCAGAGGTCAGACTCCTACGTCGTGCGGGGGTTTGTGTACACGTTGGTGGACAAAGGTCAAGATGGCACCGTGCCAGAGTCTGTCCACGCTGCCATGCCGGGCCTGGTGAGCAGTTTCCTGTTGACCTTGATAGAACGCTGCAAGCATCCAGGGTACATCCCAGACAAAGAGGGGAAAAGTCTGATGGGTAGTAAAGGTGGGTTTTTTCATAGGTCTAACGGGTGATTTCTCTAAGGGTGGGTTTTTTCATAGGTCTAACGGGTGATTTCTCTAAAGGGTGGGTTTTTTCATAGGTCTAACGGGTGATTTCTCTAAAAGTGGGTTTTTTTCATAGGTCTAACGGGTGATTTCTCTAAAGGTGGTTTTTTTTCATAGGTCTAACGGGTGATTTCTCTAAGGGTGGGTTTTTTCATAGGTCTAACGGGTGATTTCTCTAAGGGTGGGCTTTTTCATAGGTCTAACGGGTGATTTCTCTAAAGGTGGGTTTTTTTTCATAGGTCTAACGGGTGGTTTCTCTAAAGGTGGGTTTTTTTCATAGGTCTAACGGGTGATTTCTCTAAGGGTGGGTTTTTTTCATAGGTCTAACGGGTGATTTCTCTAAGGGTGGGTTTTTTCATAGGTCTAACGGGGGATTTCTCTAAAGGTGGGTTTTTTTCATAGGTCTAACGGGGGATTTCTCTAAAGGTGGGTTTTTTCATAGGTCTAACGGGGGATTTCCCTAAAGGTGGGTTTTTTCATAGGTCTAACGGGTGATTTCTCTAAGGGTGGGTTTTTTCATAGGTCTAACGGGGGATTTCTCTAAAGGTGGGTTTTTTCATAGGTCTAACGGGTGATTTCTCTAAGGGTGGTTTTTTTTCATAGGTCTAACGGGTGATTTCTCTAAAGGTGGGGTTTTTTTCATAGGTCTAACGGGTGATTTCTCTAAGGGTGGTTTTTTTTCATAGGTCTAACGGGTGATTTCTCTAAGGGTGAGTTTAGCCGTGATCTGACGAGTAGTTTCTTGGTTGGGCATAGTCTAGTTCAGTGGCGTGTCCAGTTGGGGTGTTGGTGGGGTCGCATGAGCCTTCAGTAAGACATTCCTCTCATCATAAGTCATTACGTCACTGTTGTTGGTGACGGCGAGATCTAGATGTCGTTAATGTCTTCAGTTGCTACATTATGTATATATATATATATATATATATATATATATATATATATATATATATATATATATATATATATATATATATATATATATATATATGTGTGTGTGTGTGTGTGTGTGTATGTATTTATGGAGGGCTTCGATCCGCAACCCCCAACAAATTCCTGCCTAGATCACTGGTCTAGCTGTTTTAAAAAAGAAGCTACTGGACGTATAACTAATTTTTAAAGATGTTATTGTTTAAAGTAACCATGTAAAGTAAATTTTTTAACAGCTGATCAGGGATCTCCATCGACCCCACCGGATGTGACGCAGGTTGTGAAACGTGAGGTCATATCCGCTTGCCGGGAGATTGGCGAGTCACTGGTGACGCCACAAGCAACACAGCTGATGAGTTCCAAGATGGCCGACTATGTCGCCTGTACCGTGTTTGTGTTGGAGAAGTATGCGAACCAATCAAAAACTTAGAATATCTAATTCATTCAGTTAATGTTTATACCGGGGTAACGGTGAGATGGTAATGGAAGCGAACAAAACCACATTTATGAGACAGATGTACCATCTTTGATCTTTGTTTACGTAGAAAATGTGAAAAGCGTTATAACTGTTATATGGGACGATGTGGTCGCATAGTAGAGCTCTCGTGAGCTACCTAGATAGACTCGAGTTGGTAACCCGTGGACAGCTGCGTCTTGCCAAAACTATCCCTCATATGCGGAGGTCACAGAAACGGGTGAACTCTATTTCCCACGGACCTACTTTATAAAAAGTGTAACTACTTTATAATAACAATTGGGTGAAACATTCAGTTTAAACATATTGCCAACAAATTAAAACGGTTAATTGACGGCCTTAATGAACTCATTTCTTCCGATTTTTCACGCTAATGCCTTACCCCCCCCCCCCCCCTACTCCCTTACCCAATCATTCATTCATCTTTAAGTTTAAAACCACGGTTTCAAGTCACCTGTTAAATTAAATATCTCGCAATTTTCCCCCAAAATTCAGAATAGTCTCCAACTACCACGAGAAGTTATGGGCCCTGAGACACGCCCTGCTAAAGAAAGAACTTGACGTGCCTGATGTCGTTGATTTCATCATCGGGCAGACGAAACACGGCATCCCAGCCTTGAAGAACAACCTGGACGGCGCCGTACAGCTGGTGACTGCCGCCATTTTGGAAATGGAGGAGCTGCTGAGATCCGTGCGGATGTTGAACAAAATGGTGGAGAGCATCAGCAGGATGGGGATGGACGCGGGTGGGGTTCGGGGACAGCCTCACAATGTCCTCTCTGTGGTGACGCCCCTGCTGTTGACTCGGTTGATGAAGTCCTGCCTGCTGACCATTTTAAGGACGTTGGCGGTTTTGGTGGAAGGAAAAATGGACAAGACGTTGTGGTCAAGACGTAGGAATACTTTAGAACAGCTCGAGAAGATGGTGAGTGTCGCGATGTTGGTGACGGCGCATAATGATTTCAGCGTTTTGAAAGAACAGATCGAGGACTGTGTCACCCCCCAGGGTTTGTGGACCCCCGGGGGTGTGGCCGGCACGGAGGAGAGCTCGGTCATTGACCTGCCGATTGAGACAGTGGACAAAGTTTTCGCCAGGCTGGAAGGCATCATGGACAACTTCCACAGCACGAAGACTTCCTTCGAAGGTGAGATTATCGTGGCATTGGATTCATTGTTTCTTCTAGATATTTTTTTCTCCGGGGGTGAGGGGCACGAAATTTTTGGGTAGCGGACTAAAATTTCCGGGGCGGGGGGGGGGGGGGGGGGACGACGGGACACTGTCTACATAAAATCTATTTCGTTCGGGTGGGATATTTGTTATTTTCTAGAGTAATAGATAACCATATTTTCCCTTTTTTGCCCTAGACACCCGGGTCCCTTTTAGAAAGCTCCCTCCACTTTTATGGTCACCGGGAATTGCCCCCCCCCCCGTAACAGCCCTGCCTTTTTAAAAACTTTCTTTAGCGGTATTCGTTAAGGACAGCGTAGTCTAGCGGTAGTCGGCGCGATCGCTAACCCGAAGGTGTCGAGTTCGGATCCCGGACTAGAGACAATAGAGAGAGCGCGATACTAGTACAGCATACTTTGCTCACACATAATTTAATTACTATTTTCGCTTGTCCTCACATTTTATTGATAGCAATTTTTTTTGTTTGCAAGTTGTGTGAATTATGATTAGGAGAATTTATATTTTAACTTTAATGTATGAATATTTTAACTTTAATGTGTGAATTATGATTAGGAGAATTTATATTTTAACTTTAATGTGTGAATATTTTAACTTTAATGTGTGAATTATGATTAGGAGAATTTATATTTTAACTTTAATGAGTATTTTTTTTTTTACTTGTATGTCATAGGCTCTTTGTTCGCGGTCTATGTTAACTATGTGTTAGAGGTTTATGTTGACTCTTTGTTGAAGGTATATGTTGACTCTTTGTTGAAGGTATATGTTGACTCTTTGTTGAAGGTATATGTTGACTCTTTGTTGAAGGTGTATGTTGACTCTTTGTTGAAGGTATATGTTGACTCTTTGTTGAATGTATATGTTGACTCTTTGTTGGATGTATATGTTGACTCTTTTTGGATGTATATGTTGACTCTTTGTTGGATATATATGTTGACTTTTTGTTAGAGATACGTGTCCAATCTTTGATAATGATATGTGAAGATTCTTTGTTAGAGGTATATATTGACTCTTTTGTTAGACCGGCAATTTTCCTGGCAGTCCCTCATAACACTCCCGCCTCTGCCAGCTGCTTCCCCGTCGTGCGCCTCGTTATTTTTTTTAATTTCCTTTAGTAACATTCGTTCCGGAGAGCCTGGTACGTCGGACTCCCAAGTCCCCTACATATTAGCGTGGGGGGGGGGGAGAGGTGCAAGACTGCCGGGAACCAAGAGGGGTTTGCTCTCGACCCTAACCAGATATCTTGACTTTAAGCTGCGGCCTTCGCGTGGCTTCGGATGTGTGCCACTAGTCGGACCAAGCTCATGACCCCCCCCCCCCTAGTGGGTGCGGAATGGCTAGTGGTAGCCAACAGCAGCTAGAGGTTTTTGATCTGGCCGAGTAGAGCTGCTGTATGCGCTAGGCTCAAAGAACGGCTGAACGCCCCCCTCGATCAAGCCGGGTACCAGGCGGTAGGACGACGTCCCCACGTCACGCGTCTGGTGGGTGGGGAAGTAAAGCCCGGTGAGAGCCAACGGAAGTAGCGACCGACGTGTGGGATACTTGGTCTTATGGTAGAGTTTGCCGCACTGAGGCCTGCCTGGCTAATGGAAGTCAACCTTCTGAGCCGGTTTCCGTATAAGGAAGGAAGGAAGTAACATTCGTAAGGGGCGGCGTGGTCTAGCGGTAGATCGTGCGATCGCTAACCCGACAGTGTCAAGTTCGGATCCCGGACTAGCGGCCGTAGGTGGAAGCCTAAATGTGTATTGACAGCTGACACTGGTACGCTAAATACTCTTCTTCCTAAGTTACTTCCTGGCTGGCAAATGAGAGATTGAGCCAGTAACGATAGTACAAGAGAGAAGGAGAGAGCGATATTAGTACAGCATAATTTGCTCAGACATAATTTATCAGAACAGCATAATTTGCTCAGACATAATTTATCAGTACTATTCTTGCTTTTCAATAAATTTTATCGATACCATTTTTTTTAAAGTTGTGTGAATTATGATTTGCTGTTTTAGATTAAGAGAATTAATTTTTAAACTTTTTAATGCATTTTTTTTTAACTTGTATGTAACATTCATAGACTCTTTGTTAGCGGTCTATGTTGACTCTTGGTTGGAATCATATGTTGACTCTTTACGTGTCCAATCTTTGTTAGTGGTATGACGTGATGATTCTTTGTTATAGGTATATTTTGACTTTGTTGGAGGTGTATGTTGATTCTTTGTTACGGGCGTTTGTCGAAATATATAATTTATTAAACGTACCATAGTGTAGTCGACATGTAAATCTTATATTCACACCTTGTTTCTGTTGTGTGTGTTGCAGACGGCACCCGGTACGAAGAGAAAGGATCCTATTCAGCCAAAGACGTGTGCGAGATCATCATCAGCCGTGTCATGGGCTCAATCATCTATCGCGTGGAGATCGGGTCTCTACCTTGTCTGAGGGTCAACGACCTGGTCCGTGGTCAGAGCTCACAGAAAATAATTTCCGCCTCCCCGGAAGAATTTCCGTCCAGCCCCCACGACCGCAGCGCCAACAAAAAAATGGACCAATCCGGGAATAAAATACTGAACCCTGCCGTCTGCTTCGAGCAGGATGTGTCCAGCTGTTTGTATGAACACCTGGTCGGGGTCGTTTCCGGTGTGGAACAGCACATGAAGATGGAGGTGGAGGGGGCGCTGGTCATCAACGAGGACTACGACAACAAAATCAGGGCGCGGGTCATCATCGACTCCCTGCTGGGCAAAATCCGGAGCAGCCAGAAAAACAAAACCACTTTCCTGACGGCCTTGAATCCCCCCGAGAAGACCACGCCCCACAAGAAGACTCCCGATGGTTGTAACAACAGAGCCGGGCCTGCAAGAGATTTAAGAAAAAACGCGTCTGTGAATGTTGAAGCTTTGTCTAAAACAAACTCCACTTCTTTGAAGAAGGTCCCGCTGTCGGCGTACATTAAGACGTTGTTCAACCAGATCTTTGATGAGAAGCTGACATGTGAGGGTGAGTACCACGACAAGGCCGTACTCATCAACGAAATCGTCAACGCCTGCTACAACTACCACGCGTCGTTCGTTGAAAATAACGTCGCGAAAAAAGAAACGCCTTCAGATCGCTTGCAGTCCGACAGCGTTAAAATTTTAATCACGGAGATGGTTCTGGAAGAACTTTTGAGTAATCTCAAACGATGTAAAAAAGGCGCGAACGAGTCTGTTTTTAAGCGAACAGCTCACCCGTATTTGTTCAGCCAGGAATACCACGACCCTGACCCTTTAGGACCGTACTACGCTGAGGTCATGGACAGGGAGAGAAGGTTGTCGAACTTTATCAAAGTGGAGACAACCGCCGCCGCCAAGACATCGCCCCGGCACGTCGCGGCCATGATGAAGGGGGACAACTGCGTCGAGACTAAGGTCAGCTCCAGCTGTCAGAGCGATAGGCTGAGGTCCGAGCACTCCCGGAAAGCGGGCAAGTCCATCGCGCAGAACCCGGTCGATGTGCTCACGTCGAAGCGAATCGTGAACCGTGTGACGGAGTGGAGGAAGAACATCTGCATCACGTCGACGGCCAACAGCTTGGAAAGTGCGAAAAGTACCTCGTCTATATGGAAACAAAAGACGCCGCAGAAGGTGACGAAGCAAAAAAGTGCGGAAGTTAAAGACGTCAAAGACTTGAATAAACAAAAATCTGCTGTTTCAGCTTCAGCCCCTGCTTGCAGTAAACAAAATTTGAAATCGGAAAACAAAATATCGGTAACTAAAAAACAGCAAACTGTGAATGATGAGAATAAAAACGAAAACGTTGGTGTAGTTAAGAATAAAACCGACCATGTTGATGTAGGAAAGAAACCGCAGGCTGTGAAAAAAGAAACAACGAAAAGCCCGGAAACCGAAGCTAAGCTGAAGATGGATAAAGAACGCGCCAAAAAGCAGCAACAGCAAGCTATACACAAGGCGAAGGCGAGAGCTGAAAAACTGAGGAAAAAACAAGCTGTGAAAACCATCCCGGGCACACAACATCAGCAGAGGAAGATTGAAGTGTTCTACCACGTCACGCACAAACCAGAAAACTTGCTGGAACCTGATCCACAGAACGGCACCGTCGGGGATACTTGTGGGGGTGAGGTTGGCGAAAATGTTCCAGTTGAGGTTGTACTCGATGAAGAACTAGGAACAAGTGTTGATAAGATAAACGAAATCGGCGATGAAACACAAATAACAAATGAAGAAAATGCGGAAGTTGAAGACAGTGCTCCCGTGCAATATCTGCTGTCTGCTCTGCTCAGTTTAGTAGCAGATGAGCTGCCCAAAGAGGTGGGGCTGCTGAAGCAGATCTTCCCCATGGAGGAGCTCTGTCGGACGTCAATGAAGGACTTGGTCGACCCGCTCTCCGTGGTAGAGTTCGCTCAGGAAAAATTTGACGCGGGGCGGCTGACGGAGGTGGGGCAGGTGCTCCGTGGGGAGGTCAGCAGGACAGAGCCAGGCCACAGGCTGGTGGGGGCCTTCAACAACATCTACAGGAGCGTTGGTGAGTGGCGTGAGGTGTGTGTGGAAGGTGGGGGTCAGTCGGTGGGGGTCAACAACATCTGCAGGAGCGTTGGTGAGTGTCAGGGTGTGTGTGTGGGGCGGGGGGGGGGGGGGTGGTCAGCCGGACAGAGGCAGGCCACAGGCTGGTGGGGGTCTTCAACAACATCTACAGGAGCGTTGGTGAGTAATACAGGGTGTGGAGGGGGGTGGGGGGGGGGGGTCAGCAGGACAGAGGCAGGCTACAGGCTGGTGGGGGTCTTCAACAACATCTACAGGAGCGTTGGTGAGTGGCGTGAGGTGTGTGTGGAAGGTGGGGGTCAGTCGGTGGGGGTCAACAACATCTGCAGGAGCGTTGGGGAGTAACACAGAGTGTGGAGGGGTCGGGGTGGGGTCAACAACATCTGCAGGAGCGTGGGTAAGTATCAGGGGGTGCGGGGTGATTTTTATAGAGGGTGTGTTTTGCTAGGGTAGTTGTATGGTTTTACTTTGTTAAGGGATTATTCGTGTAATATTGGTTGTTGTGCTATGGCTGGTTTAGTGGGCTTTTAGATATACAGTGCCTGCTGTGTTTTTGTTAGAGTGCCTGCACTGTTTTAGTGGGCTGTTATTTATAGGGCTTTTTTTATTTACTTTAATGTCGTTTGAGTGGTCTTACAGCTATACAGGGCTTACTTTGTTTGGGTTCTCAGACAAGGTAGGATTCGAGAAATAAAATGTGTTTTTGTGTTGGGGCTGTTATATATTGTTGTTTAAATGGAAAGGATTGGTTGTTTTAGTTGGTTGTAAAGACGTGTAAACATTGGGTGACTTAACTAGTGTAGTTGTAGGTGGAGTAGTGTTTTAGTCTTGGGTTCAGTACTTTGTCAGACAAGTAGTCTGATTCAGGAAACATCATCCTGAATTTTTGTTTCTTGGTGTATACAACTTTTCTAGAACACCATCGACGTGAGTTGAAAATTACTTTTAAATTCTTAATGAATCTTTATGTTGTACCACGCGATCTGACCAAATCGTGAACGTCTGGTGTTTTCTTTTCTCAGTAGCCGGGATGGTGACGGACACAGAGCTGTTGCAGAAGGCGGGAATCGTGGCTGGCGAGAAGATCGATGTGGACACATTCCGACTGCAGGTAATTAATGTATGATTGGTGTGACCTAATTAATGGATGAGCTGGCTGAGGATGTTTATATCTTTTATTGTTTCTGAGATCAGCTTTATAAACATAATTTTTTTTAATCAGTAGAGGATTATGTTCAGATTATGTGATGTTGCATTATATTGTCAATGTTTATGTATTTTAAAATGTGTATGTTTTAAATGTGCATGTAACAAATGTGTATATTATAAATGTGTATCCCATAAGTATGTATCGTATAAATGTATATGCTATAAATGTATATTTTATATGTGTATGTTATAAATGTTTGTTATATGTGTGTATGTTATAAAAGTTTATGTTATAAATGTGTATGTTACAAATGTGTATGTAACAAGCATGTATGCTATAAAGGTGTATGCTATAAATGTGTATGTTACAAATGTGTATAGTACACATGTGTACATCACCTACAATGTGTGTGTGTCCCCAGCTGTCACAAACCCTACAAGAAATTGTGACGAGTGTGAGTGCTGGGTACGGCTATTCTACGCTGCTTGAGGAGAGATGGAAGGAGGTCATTGAACTCATGGAGGCGGGGCAGGTAGGTGGGGAAACAGTGGAACAAAACAAGTAGATTGTAAGCTACATATGTCGCGTGAATGTGCGGTAGAGCGCTAGACTGGTAACGGTTAAGTCGCGTGTTCGGATCCCAAACTTGGGACCCGGACCCCAACACGTCTCTGAGTCTACGCAGCTCTGATGGGTACCTGACTCATTTTGGGAAAAGTTAAGGCGGTTGTACATCGTGCTGACGATAACATTACCTAAATAAACCGATGGCAAAGAAACAATATTTTCATCAGCCCTATGGATCTATAGGTCCGTAAGAGGAACTTTACTTATAAAGTAAATTTTTTTTACTTTTTTTTTTTACTGTAGGTGAAAGATGATATACAAGAACCCGGTGAAAATGACAACGATGATAACTACTACCATGACGATGATTTTGAAGATGACAAAGAAGACCTCGACAGCTACAGCGATGACCTCGAGCCTGACCTTGAGAAAAACGATACGCTTGAAAAAGATGACTATGTCGAGTGTAATGAAAACGATGATGAAAACAAAGAAAATGATGAAGAGGAAAATGTCGGTAAAGATGAAGACAAGGAAGAAGACAAAATTGAAGACAATGAAAGTGTTGATGAAAACCGCGAAAATAAGAGCGACGACGAATATGTCAGCGACGTGGATAAAAAAGAGAGGCTCGATGTAGACGACGATAAAAGTAGCTCCGAAGACGACAAGCCGAAATGTTCAGGCTCGTCGTCCTGGTCCTCGATGAAATCCGAACTCTCGTCCTTGTCGGGAGGTTCAGAAGGTTCCAGAAAAAGGGAGCCCAGGCGACGAAAGAGAAAGCGGGCGCGACCGGCGAGGAGCCACAGCACGGTCTCCGGCTCGTCTAAGGTAACAGTGGCCGGAAAATGCCGGTTTTGTAACCGGTTGGCTGGTGTAGATGTTATATCGTTTGGAGATAGATACAAGTATGATAGGCGGGGGCTCATATTCTGATGTTAATGCATAAAGCTGTGTTGTTTAATAACACTTTCCCATTTGTTTACATACGAGATTTTTAATGGACACCAGCGAGTTGACGAGATTCCTTCCATAATGTTGTTGACATGGAATAAAAACGTGCTTTTTAGATTTAGACCTTAAAAAAACTTAAGCCTAAAATTAATTTAGAAATTTTATATTTTTAGAATAAATGCTATAAAAGTTGCAAATCCAGAGAACTTGAAAATAATTTGTTGAGTTTAAGGCTACATTTCTATTTATTTTCATCAAGACTAAGTTATAACCGGATGTTTCACTTTCGTAAGACAAATATTGATTGACTGTACAGTAACTTAGTAATCGATAACTATTTGTTTACAAAACTTTGCAGATCAAGTTTTTAAATAACAATGCAAATTTAAAACCCCATGACCTAGTTTTCTATTTTTAGCTTACAATGTGTACAATAAAATTTATGGCGGCCTATCCAATAGCAGGATGCAATTGTTTATGTCGCCATTACACGTGAAAACCAAATTGTTTTTGCTTTTTTTTTTTTTTTTTTTATTTAGTTACCGAAAATATTAAAAACATCAAATACATCCAATCTTTAGTAAAGTCCGAAAAAACCAGACAGGCAGGATTTTATAACCATATTAATTGTAACTACGCTGTGCGTGATTTTTAAATTAATTTATGGACCTCTCAAATACCTTTGAGACTTTTCTCGTTGGCGTCCATTAGAAGATAAATGAGAGTTTGTGATAGCTTTGGTTCTATGACTTTGGTTAAATTGCGTGGTCTAGTGTGCTTCTTGTAGCGTTTAAATATAGGAATCAGTCCGTTTTTATTTGTTTTGTTTTAGTTTTTTTTTTAGCTTTGTTTAGAAAACGGCAAGCGTAAGGGTATGGATTTGGACATAAGGATAGTGTTAGGTTTAAAGACAGCTGTGGTTGTACCATAACCACACCGCTTGTAATGTAAGCCTATAATCTCGGGTTAGATTTAGAATTATCGTGTGGTTATAGTGTAACCACACCGTTTGTAAATCAAGTCTATAATCTCGCGTTACTGTAAAACTTGAACAAGATAACGACAGTATACACAACACGTGCGGTCGTCAAGGTGACAACTAAATGTTCACAATACTCACCCTATACTCACCTTATACTCACCTTATACTCACCTTATACTCACCTTATACTCACCTTATACTCACCTTATACTCAGCTTATACTCACCTTATACTCACCTTATACTCACCTTATACTCACCTTATACTCACCTTATACTCACCTTATACTCACCTTATACTCACCTTATACTCACCCTATACTCACCTTATACTCACCTTATACTCACCTTATACTCACCTTATACTCACCTTATACTCACCTTATACTCACCTTATACTCACCTTATACTCACCTTATACTCACCTTATACTCACCTTATACTCACCTTATACTCACCTTATACTCACCTTATACTCACCTTATACTCACCTTATACTCACCTTATACTCACCTTATACTCACCTTATACTCACCTTATACTCACCTTATACTCACCTTATACTCACCTTATACTCACCTTATACTCACCTTATACTCACCTTATACTCACCTTTTTCGGGAAGGGGGTAACTGTTTTTTAAACTGGCGTTATTCTCTGATTTAACTGCAAGATTCTCTCTGTATCAGGATTCTTCAGAACATTCGGAACGGAATTCTTCCAGACAAGACGGTGAGAGGTCAAGGTCGAGTTCTGGCTCCGTCGTCTCAAGTCCCGCGACATCCCGCTCGCCACAACATAGCGCGAGACTTGACGAGACCAACCAGAGCCAACCGGAAATGGCCGGGGACGAAGGGACGTCGGTGGACCCCGAGAACTACCGAGGCGGCGACGGAGACGGCCGAGTGGATCACGTGACGACCAACACCAGGACGACCTTGAGCCTGGACAAAGGTCAGTCAACAACAGGCGATTGTAATGTGCTACACAAGGTCAGTCAACAATAGGTGACACAAGGTCAGTCAACAATAGGTGACTGTAATGTGCAAAGAATTGTCCTTCGTTGAGTTGCTGTAATATTAGCCAGGTTAAAACGTTACTAACCTACCCATTCTAGCAATCTTTCCCAAGTTAAAACGTCACTAGCCTACCATTCTAGCAATCTTGGCCGAGTTAAAACGTCACTAGCCTACCATTCTAGCAATCTTGGCCAAGTTAAAACGTCACTAGCCTACCCATTCCAGTAATCTTAGCCAGGTTAAAACGTCACTAGCCTACCCATTCTAGCAATCTTTCCCAAGTTAAAACGTCACTAGCCTACCCATTCTAGTAATCTTAGCCAGGTTAAAACGTCACTAGCCTACCCATTCTAGCAATCTTAGCCAAGTTAAAACGTCACTAGCCTACCCATTCTAGCAATCTTAGCCAAGTTAAAACGTCACTAGCCTACCCATTCTAGCAATCTTAGCCAAGTTAAAACGTCACTAGCCTACCCATTCTAGCAATCTTGGCCAAGTTAAAACGTCACTAGCCTACCCATGCTAGCAATCTTAGCCAAGTTAAAACGCCACTAGCCTACCAATCCTCTCGCAATCGCAACACTATCCCCACCCCACCCATACTCCCACAAAATGAGACAGTTTACCAAAACAACTCTACTTCACCCGCCCAATGGACCGCCAGAGTAATCTTTACCGTTTACTTTACCCAATCTACCAACTTAAAATACAAACCATTATGACGGAAATCCATAAAGTCTCTGATGTATTTCTCATAAGTATGATGTGTGTGCTACTTTCAACCACTTCGAGCAAGAAATATACTAAAAATATTTTTATTTTTCTCTTGCAAAGATTAAGTGCTGTTTCTTTATATCGACCTAATATAGAAATACACACAATTCAATTACGTATTGCTTATCCTTTAAAAACAAAAATTAAAAAGTGCTAATTATTTATAAAAAAAAATTACGAGTTTAAAAAAAATGCTAAAAAAATATTATTACACCTCCGACGGGACTCGAACCCGCAATCCCCGGCTTAGGAGGCCGATGCCTTATCCATTAGGCCACGGAGGCGGTATACACGTCGGGTGTCATCACGTAATTATCGATAACGAGTGGTTGTATGGATACATTATTAGTAACTTTATAAAGCCCTCCCCCTGTCTCCCCCCCCCCCCAGCAACACCCTGAAGCTCCAGTAGTATACCCATCCTACATGTATAACCACGTACGCCACATTGGACCGACACCTCAACCACTTGCATCAGAAAGTGTTGAATAACAGAGTGGGTCAACCTGATCCGATGGAAAATTTGGGTCGCGATAAAAATAAAGTGCGGGGCTAAATTATAAGGGCATTAAGGTATCTCGGCACCTGATCAATATCAGCTGTGGGTGGGGGTGGGGGGTGGTGGCGCGTAGGCTGATGGCACTGGAGAAAGGTCAAGCTAGTTGTGGAAGGTGTTGTGTACGTCTGATTTACCGCACGTACTACCACCCTGCTTCACCAGGGGGTGACACGACAGAAGGTGACTCGCCCGAAGGTGACTCCCCCCCCCCTGTGGTACGACTGGAACCACTCAAGCATGACGTAAACTCCCTCTGTCCCGTGTTCATACATGCGTGTCGTCTGGCACGGAGAGGTCGTGTCGTAGACCGACGAGTGGCGAGATATAGAAAAAACCCGACACCCCATGATCCTAACACACGTTAGTAAACAGATCGGAAAGTAGGTCGACACGCCCACTTATGCGACACACCCAGGTGATCGACTTTTCAGTCAAACGACACAATAAGTAGATACATATACTCACTTAACCGACACATTGAGTAGGTGGACACGCCCACTTAGTCGACACATTGAGTAGGTAATCACACCCACTTAGACACATTGAGTAGGTAGACACGCCCACTTAGCCGACACATTCAGTAGGTAGACACGCCCATCTAGCCGCACATTGAGTACGTAGACACGCCCACTTACCGGAACATTGAGTAGGTAGACACGCCCACTTACCGGAACATTGAGTAGGTAGACACGCCCACTTAGACACATTGAGTAGGTAGACACACCCACTTAGACACATTGAGTAGGTAGACACCCACTTAGCCGGCCCATTGAGTAGGGAGACACGCCCACCTAGCCGGCACATTGAGTAGGTAGACACGCCCACTTAGACACATTGAGTAGGTTGACACCCACTTAGCCGGCCCATTGAGTAGGGAGACACGCCCACTTAACCGACACATTGAGTAGGTAGACACGTCCACCTAGCCGCACATTGAGTAGGTAGACACGCCCACTTACCGGAACATTGAGTAGGTAGACACACCCACCTAGCCGCACATTGAGTAGGTAGACACGCCCACTTAGCAGGCACACTTGAGTAGGTAGACACGCCCACTTAGACACATTGAGTAGGTAGACACACCCACTTAGACACATTGAGTAGGTAGACAACCACTTAGCCGGCCCATTGAGTAGGGAGACACGCCCACCTAGCCGGCACATTGAGTAGGTAGACACGCCCACTTAGCAGGCACACTTGAGTAGGTAGACACGCCCACTTAGACACATTGAGTAGGTAGACAACCACTTAGCCGGCCCATTGAGTAGGGAGACACGCCCACCTAGCCGGCACATTGAGTAGGTAGACACGCCCACTTAGACACATTGAGTAGGTAGACACCCACTTAGCCGGCCCATTGAGTAGGGAGACACGCCCACTTAGCCGACACATTGAGTAGGTAGACACGCCCACCTAGCCGCACATTGAGTACGTAGACACGCCCACTTACCGGAACATTGAGTAGGTAGACACGCCCACTTACCGGAACATTGAGTAGGTAGACACGCCCACTTAGACACATTGAGTAGGTAGACACACCCACTTAGACACATTGAGTAGGTAGACACCCACTTAGCCGGCCCATTGAGTAGGGAGACACGCCCACCTAGCCGGCACATTGAGTAGCTAGACACGCCCACTTAACCGACTTAAATCTACACCCACTTAGCCGACACACCAACAAGAAAATTTAGATGTTTACATACGCTTATACTCTTAATGTATATTAATCGTCATTTACAAATTATGGGTGTATTTGTTTAACTTATAATTACATTTACAATTTTGTAACGGATTAAAAAACAGTCAAAAACCATTTTCAATAAATTAACTAATTTACAATAATTAGTTTAATTAATGCAAAAAAGTCACCTCCGACGGGACTCGAACCCGCAATCCCCGGCTTAGGAGGCCGATGCCTTATCCATTAGGCCACGGAGGCTCACATTAAACCGTATTAGTGTTTTAATTTTTTTTAAAGCCTACCATTTACTTTGATATTGAACACATTTATTGTATACACTTTTCTTCTTTAAAATAAGGTAATGATTTGTAAATTAAGACACCAAATTAAGACGCCAAATTAAGACACCAAATTAAGACGCCAAATTAAGACACAAAATTAAGACACCAAATTAAGACACCAAATTAAGACGCCAAATTAATTTTTTTCCCTAGTGGACCGTGAACTGGCCGCCATCTGCGAACTGCCCGACCCGTGCTTGATCCCCGGCCCCCACGTCGCTGCCCTACCCCAGGGGGCGGGGGTCCCGGTCATGGACTGGATGGACGACATCCAGGACGCTCCCTACGACGACGACGATTACTTCGACGAAGAGAACGACAACGAAGAATACGACGACGATGATGACGACGATGTGGAGCCAGCCGACGCCGTTGAGTCGAGCCGTCAGGGGGAGACAAACGAGGACAGTCCACACGGACCGTCAGAGGACGATGATGATGATGAAGAAGAAGAAGACGATGGAAGCTTGTCGTATTCTGATGTTGATTCTGTCAAAGAATGACCTGTTAAAAATCATCTTAGAAAACATTTTAATTATTTTTTTTTTACAATCATGTTTTTAATATCTAAGCCTATTTTACCGAAAATTCTTGTTTGCGCGTGACGTCTCAAACGGGAGGAAAACTTTCACTTGTTTTTATGAATGTGATCAATATTGGGAGGGGTGGAAATGGGGGGGGGGGGGCGGGGGGGGGAGTCAATATTAGATAAACACAAACACGGAGATATCGATTCCTAGTTAAAAGAACGGCTTTCTCGGATTGGTCTGTTTCCTAGCTTCGCATCAATATGCCAGAAAAAGTGCGTCAATAGCATTATAATTTTAAGACAGTCACAAAGCTAAGGCTAAGTTCTAGCTCCTGGGTGGTAAATACACCTTATATATATATATATATATATATATATATATATATATATATATATATATATATATATATATATATATATATATATATAATGTATATATAATGTATATATATATATATATACTGGCAGCATTTGATGCAGTGGAACTGTGTTAATATCATTATATTGTGTGTCACTAAAACTCAACTATTTAGTTCAAAGTCCTGTCGACCGCTGTCTTAAAGTACGTTACAGTTAGAAAATTACTAAAAAAAACAACACCTCAGCACGAAGACGGTACCCAGTCAAGCATTAGGCGGGCCACGGTATAACTGACTGGCGTTCTGGTTTCTGAACTTGCCGTGCCGTCCACAGAGGGGGTCAAGTTCACGGTGGTGTCGATTTTAGGCCAGATTTTTGACGCGCGGCGGTGAACTTGGTAGATATACTTGGCTTGTTTTATGATAAAGAAAAAAATTATTTTGGGGGAAGGGGGTTGGTGGGTTTGGGAGGTTATATAACATTTATTTATAGGCATATAATAGAAGTTTGATAGTCGTCATTAAGGGGAGTCGGTAAAGGAGTGTAAATTAGCAACAGTTTTGTTAAAATATATTCGAACATATTTTTATAATCTCTATTTATATATTTTTTCGTATTTTAGAATTTAATAAAAAAAATGTAGTTCATATTTAAAAAGTGTTTTTATTTCGCGACCATAGTTCATCATTAATTAAATGTGTTCGCATTTTTTAATCGTTATCGTTATGTTTTTAATGAGTTAAATAATTAGATGCTAGTTCGCATTTATCTTTACCTGTTGTTAGAACCGTTTTTAAAGCGTTGCTTAGTTTCTTTTAAAAATGTTTTAAAATATGTTCATTGCTTTTTTTTTTAAGTATATTGTCATGAAGTTTTATATACGTTTCGTATGTACAAAGATTTAACGCTGGAGTCAATTGTTAGAGTCATAATAGTCACACTAGAGTCAGTTGTTAGCGTCACAATAGTCACTCACCCTAGAGTCAGTTGTTAGCTTCACAATAGTCACTCACACTAGAGCCAGTTGTTAGCGTCACAATAGTCAGGAAAATGCTAGCCATATCCTTAACTAACCCAAATTTTACCAAACCATCAAGCTAGGAGCTCGCTTTCATGTTTGACCAGTGTTCTTCTTCTTCTTTCTCGATTGTTATGTTGGATAGCATTTCCTCCAACACAATTAAGTATTACGTGTCAACTTGTTATGCCGTCGACTCCGATTTCAGCCTGCTTTTCTTTTTTTTTCTTCTTCTTTCCATAGCGCTTGTCCATTCAAGAAAAAACTCCAAGGCAGAAGCTATTGATTTTAGAGGTTTTTCTAGATGGGTTGCTGTCTCCAGCTATTGTTCGAACTCGGGACCTTTCGGTTTTGCAATCATGAGCTCTATCGACCCGACCACTCCGACCCCCTGACTTTCTTTCAAACATTTTTTTTTCTGAAGCGGGGAAGTCGGGGGGGGGGGGGGGCGGCCACTGGTCAAAGTATGTTTACTGTATGAATTATATATTTTATTCTACTTCGTCTGGGGAGAGGGCGGGGTATTTTCCGCTGTATGTTTTACACGTCACCATAGGTCATGTATTTGACCTTTCCCCTTCACCCTTATGGTGTTCGAATCTAGGTCATAGAACGACCTTGACTCACCGAATATCAAAAAGACCAAAGTCCATTTATAAATAACATTTCCAGAAATAAAATAAAATAAAAAATAACCTTTTAACAAAGGCTCATTATTTTTTTAATGAGTGTAATTAAATTAATCTTCATCGACAACGTTACAGAAATCAACAGGGTATGTAAAGTACTGTCATTAGAATATTCTGGGCCGTGGTGCTGATTGCGAGTGCACTAAAACGGACGTTTACTTGTGGAAGCACCATTTTGAACAAGTATAATAAATGTAGGCCTACGTATTTAGATCAGTGAAAGAAACAGTGGGTAGATTTATATTAGATGACAGTGTATCATTGTGTTTAGAAAATCTTATTACCAGGACATAGGTGGAATGAAGTAGAGTTAATATGGATTTTATTTTATATTTTGTGACTCCGTGATATATAAAAAACCGGGAGTGATCTTCCCTAAACTTTCTCGAATATTCTTATATAAAACAACAGGGGATGGGAACTCCATTTTAAATACTTAATGTTTTTAAAATAGAATAAAATCTCGTAGAAAAAAAAAATTGCACACCAAGTGAACGCCAAATGAAATGTACATAATAGTGCGCAATATTATTAGTACTTTATAAATTTACATGCGTTTTTGAGAAATCGGAAATAGCGTAACTTAGTACTTCCGGTCAACGGAAATTATTCAAAATTTGACATAAGGTAGAGAATTAGATCTTTTACTTACATGTGAAATTTCATTTATCTATCTGAAATAGTACTCAAGTTATAGGCTTTTGAAAAATTCAAAGTAGAAAAAGTACCACTTCCGGTTATCGGAAATCGCTCAAAAGCTGATCAGGATCTACGATTTCGATAAAATACTTATATATGAAATTTCATCAACCTAGCTGTAACGGTACTCAAAAAACACGTGAATTTATAAAGCCCTAATAATATTCCGCACTATTATACACATCTTTATTCGGCGTTCGCTTGGTGCGCAATTCTTTTTTTTTAATGAGATTCTATTCTATTTTAAAAAGTTTAAGTATTTAAAATGGATTAAAAATCATAACTATATTCCGAGTTCCCATCCCCTGTTATTTTATATAAGAATATTCGAGAAAGTTTAGGGGAGATCACTCACGGTTTTCATTTGTTTTGTTTTCATACTGACTTACCCTCACCATCCATAGGGTCGTGACGTCTCTCATACACGACCCTCTCAATCAAAAATCTTCATCACGCATTTCTTTTAGCTCATTTCAATAATTATTATTTTAATCATAAATTTAAAGCTAATCAAATTACTTTTTAAATGTAAGAAACAGCTATCAAAATAATATATTTTCAGTTCACCAACACTGTTAACTGTTCAACTAAAAACGACCGTAGTTCGCACCACGTTATTTTTATCTTAAATTTAACGACTTTGTACTTTGGACCCGACACGACTCGTCCCTACATTTGTTGAGGCAAGGGGCAATAAAATACCAGGTAACCTTCTAGTACTTTCCTTAGTTCGTTGGTTCGTGGTTTTAAAACAAAGATAACGGTTTCTTAAAAAGTGGGGATACATGGATATATAAAAGTATAGTTTTATTAATAGGCGTGCATATATATATATATATATATATATATATATATATATATATATATATATATATATATATATATATATATATATACATATATATATATATATATATCAGAAAAATGGAGGGCGTTTGTCTTTTAAACTCAAAGCAATTAAATTGGGTATTTCTTGCAAAGGCGCTGTGACCATTCCGGTGTGATCTGTCGATAGCCCCCCCCCCCCTCAACCATTTAGTGATTCACGTTAGTGAAAAAGCGCCCCTCCTCCCCCCCCCCCCCTTCGAAGTCACTGTCCCTAACCAGTTTTTATTTCGGGTCACACAAGTGATGTTAAAAAAAAAACTCCGGTCGGTTTGTGTATAATTCAGTCAAGTATATCAACCACCCTCCCCTAGCGACGCCTCTGATTCTGGACCAGCTTAAGAGGCAAATTTTTTTTGTAGTCCGGGGTTCAGTCTTGAACACATTGGAAAATTATAGCCTGCTCAATAATCGTATTGATCACAAACTGATCTAGACTGACTGCGGCGGTTTATAAACTATAATTTTTAAAAAAAATGCTTGAATTAGATTGACAACTGACAGGATACGCAGTGAGAAGGGCGTATCATACCGTATGTGCTATATGTGATGGCTGAATGATAGATTGGTTAGAATCTAGACCAGGGGTCTCCAAACTACGGCCCGAGGGCCGGATGCGGCCCGCGATGTCCTCTCATTAGAACCGCGGAGATCTTTTTGTGCACGGAAAAAAAACGTTTGTTGGTGATGGCTGAGGAACTTTGCCCAGAAAAATCAAAGACAAGCCTGGAAGAAACTGGCCCCCGAACTGAATAGTTAATGCGGCCCTCGGACTGAAAAGTTTGGAGACCCTGATCTGGACAGTGCGTGTGTTACGTTAGCTATTATTCTGTGATACACTACCAACGTTGTACACACAATTTTAAAATTCTAAAAGTAATGTCAAAACATGATTTGACTATAATGTCAAGACATGATTTGACTATTCCTAATGACTATCAGTTGTTTGGGGGTTTTGTGTGTGTGTGTGCGTGGTTGCGGAGTGGTCTCCGTGTGGTCACCATGTAGTCACCGTGTGGCTACTGTGTGCTCACCATGTAGTGTCCATGTTGTGGCTAAGTGATCACCACAGACCTATCTGCCACACCAAGACGACCCAGCCCACCTTCTTTGGTCTACTTTATAGCAACAACCTGCAGTCTTTTATCATTAGCTTAATTAAAAACGTGTGAAATTGACAAGTCTTCTTTTTAAATTTCAGAACAGAGCCATTTTTGTCTTGGAGTTTTTAGGTCTCGTTAATTATGACGCAATAAAACTTCTAGCCTAAGGGAGTTGGAATAGTCAATAGTTCACGTTTCTGTAAGATGTCTGTTCATTCTTTTTCTTCGTTCTTAATTTTTAGTGTTGGGAGGGATCGAGCCTTATCTGCCAGAGGGTTTGAACTGTTCATACTAGAGAGTATTTGTTGTTGAAAAACGTTTACTGTATGTTTTACTTTTGAAATAACTTCTTTATTTAAAAA